AGCTGCTCCTCATCCATGCATACCGTACCCATGCTTTGTAGGGGCGAATTTTTGGATTGTCTCCTGCCCGCAAGAATGGCTCTGTAATTGTCCAGGTGCGAAATAGAAACTGGTCACGCTGCACAGCTACTGTATTTGAATCAAGAGATTGATAAAGGGACCTACGTGGTGTGCAGGGGAGTTTCTCCGTGCTGTAAAATGAAGAAACCACATTCAACGTACTGTTTTTTTTTTTTCTTGAGGGGAGTTTCTCCGTGGTGTGAAATGATGCTGGTTGGTGACAACTTGATTGAGGGTACGTTCCTGGCTGGTGTCAAGCTTCGGGCCTTCCCAGGAAGACCCGAAGCTTTGGGTTATACTTCCTGTCAAACTTTGTGTTTTCCGGAAACAGGGGCAATTTTTGGCCGGAAGACCCGAAGTTGGTCTCGGATGACCCAAAGTGGGATGACCGGAAGCTTGACACGTGCCAGGAACGTACCCTGAGGCTTGACTCCGGGAAAATGCACAAACCAGGGTGGTGGTGTCCGTAGTGGTGGGTGGGACTTCGATGTTGCTCCAGCTATTCAGGGCCCAGTTTGGTAGGCATTGTGGGCATTTTGGGCATAATGGCCATTTTTAAAGGGCCCCAACAAAAAGGGGGCTCGAAACTGCCGCGAAATCCAATTCAACCTTCGGAATAACGGGGTGTTGTGTTTGGCTGGCATCGTGTCTCGCAAGATTAATGGCATCAACCGAAAATCCATCTTCGCTGAAATCGATAAGCACCTACGCGCCAGGAGCGCAAATCACTGTGCTGGCAGGTCGGTTCTGCCCTGCAAACAAGTGGTCCCATGGAAAAAAAAAAAAACCGAAAGGGGAAACTGTGCCATCCACATGTTGGGGGAGTTTTTTTTGCTTCCTGCTGGCAGGAAGATGGGTCACAAACGGGCCAGAAATATTTTTTTCTGGGCAAGCAGTGATTGCCCCGAACCACTGATCCCCCGCACCATGCGGGACCTTGAGGCCGCATGGTGCGGGGTGTCCGAAAACGGGCTCTTTGCTAGGGAAAATGGGGTCGTTGAAGAAACGGTGGATTGGAAATGCCATCGGATGACGGGGGCCCAGTTCGGCAGGCATTATGGCCATTATCGGCCATTTTAACGGGCCCCCAAAAAATGGCCCCAAGAAACAGACTGTAGCTGCAGTGAAACTTCGGAAAAAATGACCCGAGTGTTCGGTTGGCATTAAATGGGCCAAAAATAATGGCACCAGTCGGAAATGACACTTCGGGGAAGCCCGTATGCAGCTGCACTGATAGAGCGTGGAATCACTGTACGGGCAGCCCGGGCAGCCTCGCAAAGCAGCGGTGGACGCCGAAAATAATCGCACAAGGCATACTGTGCGTTCGATGTGTTAGAGATGGTGTGTTGGTGATGTGCGATTTTCCAGCGGGCACGAAGAGGGGTGAGAAAGACCGAGATTTGTTTTTTTCAGGGCAAAGTTGGATTTCCCCGAGTCAATGATCCCCCGCATGGTGCGGGGCCTCGAGGCCGCATGGTGCGGCGGATGAGAAAATGGACAGTTTGCCTGAGAAAAAGGGTTCGAAGAAGGTTCCTCTTGTGAAAAATGCCAGCGTTAAAAGGGGTGTTCGGCTGGCATTCCATTATTGTCTGGTTCGGCGATGATCCGCTTATATCGAGCCTAGATAACCTTTCGCGCGCTTATCAAAGAAGGTTCCAGGGTGGTCGGTTTACTGTAGCCCATACGGGGAAACCGTTTTTTTAATGCCTGCCGAACTGGGCCGGGGTGTTTGGTTGGCATTCCATTATTTTTAGGTTCGGCCCAGGGTTGTTGCGGGACAAGTGAGGCGACACCGTGCGTACACCTAGCCACCGCTATTTTCAACTTCTGACCTTGGCACTGTTCCCGATTTTCATGTAATCCCTGCCCAGCTTTTGGGGTTTTCTGTTAGAAACCTCGTTATAGGGGACTATGAATGACATCAAATGGAGATTTCAATCGGGCGAGTGTAAGACAATTTCGGCTCGTGTGGAGTCTGCTTGTTGTTGCGCATCCCATTGCGTAGCTTTCAGGAGTCAGGAACTAACTCTGCGTAGAGCGTATGACGTCCGACACAACCCTCGGTCAAAAACGTTTTGAAGGGTGCCTACCCCTTTGCACACGTGGGGGTTGAAGATAGACCGAAAGAAAATAGCGGTGGTTAGGTGTACCACACAACTGGCTAGCAAAAGCGGGCTGAACAAATCCACCGACGTGCTGCTGGCTGCGCGGGCATTGCCCGTTCCCTCCCTGCCCGGAGTGCCCGACCCGACCCCGAGTCTCGTTCTGTGTCTCATCGGTCAGTTGCAAAATCCACAGAATCAAATAATCTCTTGGTAGCTGGTACGTGCATTTCATGCTGAACAGTTTTTACTGTACATATGAATCTGAGATTGCTATACGACAATTGATTACAGTTGGCACTCTGTCTATTCTTTGGGTGGTGAGAGACGGCTGCAACATTGAAGAAGTCTTCCGTCTAAAAACAGCACTGTGGGACATTATCTGGGGGTAGTTACGACTCGGTACACCTGAACCAACCACTGTGACCTCGCCATACTCATGACGTTGGAAAGTGCTAGAATGGCCAGACATGATGGACATCGGAACTGGTGGCGATGCTCACATAATGCGAGGACAAAAAGAATACTGACTACAGTATGCCTGACAAACGGCAACAATTCACTAGTCTGCTGAATAGCAACGGTCCTTTGCTCGTTGTTACAGTATACAGTCCCATTTTTCGAAGTGCCCCCACGCCAGACTGTATTTTGGATCTGGCAGGTGCGCTGTCAGGCGTGTAGCCCGTTCGATGTACAGTGTGTTTTTTTCTTGTGGCGCTCTAGCTGTTTGGTACTGTACTTGGTTAATACTGTACTTCACTGGACCTCCACCATTACCCTCATGAGGGTGTACACAGCAGGTATCACCCAACACCCGAAACATTCGAATGTGTAAATTCAGGGTGTAGCCTCCAAAGGCGGGCATGTGAAGGAACTGTACTGTAACAATTTTCATAAATCGGCAAATTGTGTCAGTTGTAGCCGTATTGTGCGAGTCGGAGCCGACTGTTCGAGTCGAGTCGCTTCCGTAAGCCCAGGCAACATGAAGAACAGTGCGATGAACGAGGTGGGGTGGGGTGATAGAACGTATTGTCTCGGTACTCAGTTAGCAATGTGCTGAATTGAGCACCAGAGAAGGTGAGGGGCGGAGGGAAGTTGGAATGGGGGGATTTGGGTTTGGCGGAAAGGATCTCGTCCGTGTCAGTCCAATACAGTAGCGGAGATTTTCAGTCGTTATCGGACATCCGCCAGCCAAATGTGTGTCGTTGGATCGCTAATATCAATGTTTATTTCGAGTGTGCTAGACATGGGAGGAAAACTTACGTTAGGGGTTTGACCTCCAGAATTTTCTAATGGCTAAGAGCCATGTTTAGTACTGTACAAGCTCCACTGAGGTGACAGTGCGGGCTCATCTTGTTTTGTGCTGTGCTGTACAGTTCTGTGTTTCCGAATCGGAGGGAAGCCACCCGTGCGGCTTTGTCAGTCGAAGTTGTCCATGTCCATCCTACCAGACACGTGAAGAACAGACCCAAATCAATCGTGGAATCGGAGGAGGTGCTCGCTGCTCATCATCGCTCTCCGCTCACAGGACGGCTGAGCGGAAGCGTACAGAAGTGAACCATGTCTCACGACGCTTGGCGGTTGATGTGCGGGGCGGAGTGATCCCCGTCTTTACTCTGCAGCGCCTGTCTCAGTTCGCGGTTCCGTTCCATTCTCTTTGATTTCGGGCACCTTGGTAGTTCGATCCGTCTGATATATTTTGCATTCTGCCCTTGTAGGCAGTAAAAGCCTGAAACGGTGATATAAAAACACATCACGAAACCAACACTTAATGTGTTCATACAGGTGAAAGGGAAACACGACCACTTTGCCCCTGGTCGATGTATTCAAACTGAAAACAGCCAAATAAGGATGTGTCGCAATTACCGACGCACTGCATCGGCTCGGAACGATTGGAAGGCTCCAGGCAGGCGGGAGGCCTAATTCGGCAAAATAAATCTTTTCAAGATAATGAACCAATGAATTATTTGCTAAGTTTATGTGGGGACATCAAATGTTTTTTCGCGTTTCAGGAAACTTTTTACGGGTACTTGCTTTCCTGGGGCATTTCTAATCCCGAGCCTCGAGCCGAGCCGATGCAGTGCACCGCGAATTGCAACACGTCCTAAGGACGTGGTCCAGACCGGGTCTGATCTGCATTGATCCCGAGAAAACTCGGAAATCTAGACATTCAAGGGGTTGGGGTAAAATATTGTTGTGCAAAACAACGATACAGACGGGCATACTGTGAGCCAGGTCAACAGAAACAACATCCGCAACAGTATCCCGGCGGGATTTCTTTCGTTCTCCGCAGAACCACCCTGCCTCCGCGCACCCTCCTGTCTCCCCGCTTCAGCCACTGCTACCCTTCCCCGCTCCTAAGCTGGTTCATCTAGCCGCATCTATTTGTGGTAGCCCCAACCAGCTGTAACTTCACTCCAGAAATAAATTACTTAGCTCCTCTCAAGCTCTCCTCCCATCGCTTCTCACGCTCGCACCGCCATGTCCACCGCTGTCACCAGCAGCGACACCGCTGCGGCGTTTGTTCCGCAATGTGTCACCAGCGCCAGAAATGCCTCAGGCTTTGCCTCCAGCGTTTCCCCTCCTCAGCGCCTCGGCTCGTTCTGGAAGCCCATCGGTTTAAGCCATTGCCAATCGTCCGACGACTCTGTCCAATTGCTAAAGGCCCCCTCCCCGAATTTTCCGGCGCCCCTCACGCTGAACAGCGAAAGCCATGATGGATCCAGCGACTCGTCGACGCGACACGCCGCTGAACTTCTTCGCGTTCCGTCTCAGCCGGGTTCTTCAAGCGACGAAACGGCGCCGAATTTCGCCTCGGCTCCTTCGGTTGCGCCTCAAATGCCGGCGCAGAATCAGGGAGCGACCGTTCGGGCAATTGATGACGTGGAGCTGTGGCACGCGTGCGCCGGGCCCCTCGTGACACTCCCAGCCGTCGGATCTGTCGTTGTATATTTTCCGGAAGGACACGTGGAGCAGCAAAAATTACTGGCTGAGGTAGTACTCGGAACCAGATTTCATTTTTCACACAATTCACACGTTGCACAGTTTTGGCGTAGCGACCAATTGCCGTGCAAATTCGTCCCTCCATTGATCCTCTCGTCTTCGCAGACCCGAAGCACGTCCTGCGCTGCGTCCGACGAAGCGCAACGGCAGTGGGATCCGCAACATGCGGCGCCACACAATGCGCCTTCAGCATCCGCCGCAGCCGCGACAGCAGTGCGAGACGGCGGTTCCGCCGGCGGAAGCGCCGGCAGCGGTGCGGGCGAAGGCGGCGCTCGCAGCTCGCACGACGAAGGCAGCGACGCTGCTACAGCCGCGCTGCCCCCGAGCCACATGTTCTGCCGGCTGGAGTCCGTGGTGCTACAGATCGACGTCGAGACGCACGAGATTCTGGCCACCATGCAGCTACAGCCCATCCAAGAGGTATCGCCGCGCGTCGACGCTCTCCACGTCCATCTGCTCCTCCCGCTGTCGTCAATTCACTCGAGCAGAACACAATCTGTCAATTCTCCAATCTGTTATTCCGCGTTTCGTCGATTACTGAGCCATCACTCCTTCGTACCCCCTCTTGCCGCTCCCTCTCGGCGTTTCCCGTCCCCATTGGCAGGCGGAGGCGGCGGAGGAGCAGGCGCGGGCATCGCGCGCGGGCGCGGCGGCGAGCGGAAGCCGCGTGCTGTACGCGCGCACGGAGCAGGACCGCGTGAGCTGCAAGCGGCTGTCCACCAGCGACACGTCCACCCATGGCGGCTTCTCCATCCCGCGCAAGGCCGCCGAGGCTTGCCTTCCCCCCCTGGTGTGCCCCCCCTCTCCTCAGCTTCCGCCACCATAATGGTCCGCCGCGGGATCGTGATTCAGCGTCTGATTTGACTGTCGTGCGCTCATGATTCCGCTCCTCTCCGTGCTATGTCCGTGTGTGCACTCTCCCATCGCATTGCACTTAATTCTTTCCTCCCTTTGCTCTCTCTGTGTGTGCGTTGGTGCGATGCGATGCGTTGCGGTGCAGGACATGACGCAGTCGGTGCCATCGCAGCGCATCACAGCAACGGACGTGCTGGGCAACCAGTGGCTCTTCCGCCACGTGTACCGCGGCACGCCCAAGCGCCACCTCCTCACCACCGGCTGGAGCGTTCTCTCCGCCACCTGGGGCCTCGCTGCTGGCGACCGCATCGTCTTCCTCAGGTGCGCTCAGGTGTTTCTTCAGGTGAAATTCAGCTGATTCGCCTCCCAGGCGTCACAGCACAGCGCCGTGCATCCCTCACCCAGCTCACCGCGCCCCTCGCCCTTTTTTCTCCCTCTCCCCCCAACCTCACCCCCACAGGAACCGGCATGGTGCGCTCAAGGTGGCGGTGCGGCGCAGCGAGGCAGCCATGGCGGCCCTGCAGGCGCAGCGGCAGGTGCAGCTACAGGCGCAGCTACAGGCGCAGCTACAGGCGCAGCTACAGGCGCAGCTACAGGCGCAGCGGTCGGCCCTTGACGGCATGGCTGACCCCGGTGCGGCACACCCCGCAGCATCCCCAGGTGGCACGGATGTAGCGTCTGCTGATGCTGTGCTGGCCACCGCTGCTCGCAGCTACAGCCGCCGCACCGCCTTCTCTGTCACCTTCCACCCATGGTAAGTCAACTCGCAACCGTGCTGAGTCAGCTCGTGAGTCAGCTCGTGTCATGCATAGTCAGCTCAGCTTTCAACCTTGGCCATTCAGCTTCCACACCTCGCTCCTCCCTAACTTCTCTCCTTCCCTTGCCCTTCGCCCACCATGGCAGGGTGAGCGCATCATCGCCCTTTGTCATCCCGCTCACCGACTTCACACGCGGGCTGCATGTGAAGGCGGCGCTACAGCCGGGCAGCGAGGTGCGGCTCACGCTTGAGACCGACGACCTCGCCACGCGCCGCCTACGTGGCACCGTGCTCTCGCTGCACCACTCGCCCTCTGCCACGTGGCCCTCCTCGCCCTGGCGCTCCGTGCAGATCAAGTGGGGCGACACGGACGGGGCAGTGAAGCCCTCGCGCCTCTCCCCTTGGCTGCTTGACGACGCGCGCGCCCTCGCCCACCCCTGCTCCTCCTTCTATGTCTCCTCCGCCTCTGGACCCATCACCACCACCTTCGCCTCGGTGCCTCCTATCGCCACCGTTGCTGGCAGCACGGCTCTGCTGTCGTACTCGGCCCCGCCTCCCCCACGCCTCTCTCTGCCGCCGCCTCTCTCCATCCCTTCTGCTGCTGCTGCTCCCCCTGCTGCTGCTGCTCCCCCTGCTGCCGCCCCTGCCGCCCCCTTCACAACGGGACAAGATGGAGACGGCAGCAGCTGGGGGCCCACCCCTCTGCGCCTCTCCTCGACCGCCCCTCTCTCTCACACCCCCCTCACCTCCTTCCTGCCTAACCACTCCCTCCCTCCACGACCCCTGCCTTCCGAACCTGGCCACACAGAGCCTGAAGCGATGGTTTGGTCGCAATCCCAGCCTGCCATGGAGTACAGCGGGTCTCGGGAGTCCGCTACAACCGCCACCCCTGCCACCGCTGCGACAGCTGCTGCTACAGCCGGTGCTGGCACTGCATCTCCCTCCGCACCTCGTCCCGCCTTCCCGCGAACCCTCACTGCTCCCGGGGGCTTCACAGCCTATGCTCCTGCCAGCGCCAGGCAGGGCGGGGTGAAGAGGGAGCAGCAGGAGGAGGGCGGAGCGGTGCATCTCACACTCTCTCTCGGCCTCGCCTCCGCCACCACCTCGCCGCCCTCCGACCACTCCTCTCTGAGCCTCAAGCGCCGCCGAACCACAGGCCTTGTGTTGCCTGTGCTGCGCCACGCCTGCCACTCCGAGTCGGACGTTGCCCGCCTGCTGCACGATCAACGACCCGAGAGGCTTAAAAGGCCTGAGAGGACGGACACTCTTGACAGCGACCTTGCCATGCCCCTTGCACGCACCTCTGCTGCTGCTGCTTCTGCTGATGCTGCTGGTGCTTCTGCTGATGCTAGTGGTGCTGCTGGGGTTACTGGTGTGGTGGGTGCTCCTCCCGGCTGTCTCTTCACGCTGCCTTCCTCCCCCAGCTCTGCCAGTGGCGGCACCCCCAGGAGCACCAGCAGCCGGGAGGTTGAGCGTGTGGCAATGGAGGAGCGGGCGGCGAGTGGGGAGCAGGCGGCAGCAGGGGCGTCGGAGAGCACGGCTTCCCCATCCAAGCAGCCTGCGCCGCCCTGCAAGCTGTCTCCCTCACCGTCCCGGGCGGCCCACAGGAGGCGGATTAAGGTGAGGCGATGAGAGTTTGAAGTGTATCGAGGCAAGGGGAAGGATGGTTGCATGGTTGTGTGCATGCATGAATGCATGGACGTATGCCACCCTCTCACCCCCCTCACCTTGAGCTCTTTCCTCCCGCCGTTCTTTCTTCCCGCCTCTCCCCCATGCTCCCCTGACGCAGCTGCGGGTGGAGGGAAGCCCAGTGATGCGCACGGTGGATCTGAGTGGCATCGGCAGCTTCCAATCGCTGTACGCCACGTGTGCAGCCATGCTGCAGCTGCCCCTGCAGCAGCCGGGGCAGCAGGCCTCAGAGGGTGCCACGTGTCCCTGGCAGCTCACCTACACCGACACCGACGGCGACACGCTCCTTGTAGGTGACGGGCCATGGAGCATTTTCCTGGAACACGTGCAGACACTCACAGTCATGAAGGCTCTGGCGTAATGGCAAGATGCGAAGCAACGCCTGAGATACTTCGATATTTTTTTCCTCCGGAGAAGGGATTTGTTTTTAGCGAGCTTCAAATAAGCATCAGCGCAACTGCTCGTTGTGTTGAATCTTCTACATAGATTTCCTTTGTCAATCTCTTGCGCATTGATTTGTACTAGCTGTTGCTGTTTACTGTGATTTATATTCCTTATTGTACTCTTTCCAAAGGAATGTCTTTAGCGCCAAGCAGTACACGCATTGTGGAAAAATATCGTCATGGAAAGGTATTTTGGTAACCACAAATCTTACACGCGAAATCATTCAATGGCTGAGTTACCATCTCAGTCACCCACAAAAGCTTCGCTGAGTGTACCACCTCCGCCCACATCCACCCTACGTCGCGTTTCCCAGCGGCATGCGCAGCGGCCATGGCGCGCTTCACGCCGCAGGACTTCTTCTTCAAGGAGGCGCGCCGCCTCGGCTACGTCGCGCGCTCCGCGTTCAAGGTGCGCTCTCGCGTGACCCGTGAGCGGCGCCGCGACAGGGAGTCCCGCATCGACCTTTGTCCCCCGTGTCCGCAAATAGCGTTGGCGCACCTGCCGCGTGCTGAGCGCACTCGCAGCTGTAGCGGACTGCGCGTGCGAGGGCGAACTGCCCGCATTCCCCTGCCTTACCCTGCCTCCGCCGCTCTCTCCCCCTCCCGCGCCTGCCCCGCGGGCACCCTCCTTCCGCCAGTGAAGGGACGCAAATTGCTGCAGCGGATCCGCACTTCGCACCGAGTCCCCCTATACCCCCGCCGTCCCTCCTTTCTCCCCTTATCCTGCTCCTCCCCCAACCATCCCGTTCCCCCACCACTCCTCCCACCCTAGCCTCTCCTCCCCTGCCCCACAGCTGCAGGAGGTGCAGCGCATACACAACTCATTCCCCCGTTCTCCCCCCTTCCCCTCTCCCCTCCGCCTGCGCTTCCCCCCTCCCCACCCCCAGCTGCAGGACTTGCAGCGGCGTCACGCTGTGATAAAGAGGGGAGGCGCGGTGCTGGATCTGGGATGCTGCCCGGGGGCATGGCTGCAGGCACGTGGTGGTTGCATGGTGATGCATGGTGATGCATGGTGATGCATGGTGATGCATGGTGATGCATGGTGATGCATGGTGATGCATGGTGATGCATGGTGATGTGTGGTGATGCGTGGTGATGCGTGGTGATGCGTGGTGATGCGTGGTGATGCACGGTGATGCGTGGTGATGCGTGGTGATGGGGGCACGTGGTGATAAAGAGGGGAGGCGCGGTGCTGGATCTGGGGTGCTGCCCGGGGGCATGGCTGCAGGCACGTGGTTGGTGGGGGCATGGTGATGGGGATGGGGTGATGGGGAAGGGTGGTGGGGAAGAGTGATGGGGGCGGGTGATGGGGAAGGGTGGTGGGGGGTGGTGGGGGCGGGGTGGTGGGGGCATCACTGATGCAACTGAGGAGGCATGCATGCCTGAATACCCATATCATGGCCGTTCGCTCATGCGTATCATGGTGTGTGCTGTGCTGCCATGGGGGGCATGTGCTGCCATGGGGGGCATGTGCTGCCATGGGGGGCATGTGCTGCCATGGGGGGCATGTGCTGCCATGGGGGGCATGTGCTGCCATGGGGGGCATGTGCCGCATGCTGCTATTTCTGTTGCTGAAGCATGCGGCATGGCAGCACAGCACATCAAGGGTATCAGCAGCGGTGCGCTATCATATGATCCACTTGACCCATCCTTCACATGCCTCAAAAATCACCTTGTTTCAAATAATGCCATCACCATACGTGCTCGCTCCCATGCCTTTCATGCCAGCCATCCATGTGTGCACATGCCTCCCCTGCATCGCAGGTGGCATGTCAGGCCCTGGGCCCCATCAGTCAAGGCGGGTGTGTCGTTGGCGTCGACATTCAGGTGCATGCGCTGCCACCTTTCCTGCCACATTCGCAACTTTTGTCTGGTTTCAACTTCCGATATTTCGTCTTTCCCACACAGGTGTCAAACCTCCTTGTATGAATCCCCTCTTTCTCGACCCCGCCCCACAACCCCCTCCCACCATGTCCCCTTCACCCACCGTTCCCCCCCATTCCTCCCCTATTCCCACCAGCCGACATCAGTGCCGCAGCGCTGGTGCGACAGGCGAGTGCGGGCCATCCAGGCGGACGCCTTCGCCGTCTCGCCGCTCTTCCTGCTGCGCCTCCTCTCCTCCCTCCAGGCACGCCCCTCCTTCCTCCTTCCTCCTTGCTGCTACCCTCTCCCTCCCTCGCCTCTCCCCTCGCCTCGCACTCACCACGTTTGCGCGCACGTTCATTCCTGCACAACAGTTTCAGTGCCTCACAGCAGCAACTGCACGCTCGTACCGCTCACAGCTGCCACCTCGGCTGTGCTGTCGTTGCTGCCTCCAGGCGCCACTCCACACTCCTCTCGTGCCAGCCCCTTCACTTGCTTCTCGCCCTCCTTCCGTTCCCCATCCCTTCCCATCACCTGGAAGCCCCACTCGTCCTCCACCACTCCCCTGGGCACGAACCTGCTCTTGAGACGTCTCACAAGTCGTCTGTGCTGTGCTGTGTCACATGCCCGCCCACGGTGCACCGTCATCGTTCCCTTGCCTCATGCCAGCACCAACCCTTTCACCTGTTTGTTTCCTCCCTCCACACCCCAAACATCCTCATCACACCCCTCTCCTTCCCCCCACTCCAGCCCCCTTCCTTCCCCTCTCCTCACTGCACTATGTTCCTGGCTTAGATTTGCCCCCCAAATCTCATCTCCACCCATTCTACTGCTTCTCCCCTCTTTCCGTCCCTCCTCTTCTCCCTCCATCCCCATACCATCCCTCCCCTTCCCTCCCCTTTTCCCCCCTCCAGACCCACTCATCCCCAGCACCGCGCTTCACCACGCTGCTATCAGACATGTAACCATCCACCTCGGGCGCCTCCCCCTCTGATGCATTCAACTGCTTCTTTCCTTCTTCCCCTCCCCATCCCTATCCAATCCCTCGCCTCCCCACCCCTTCCAGCCCCACTCCTCATCCCCAGCACCGCGCTTCACCACGCTGCTATCAGACATGTAACCATCCACCTCGGGCGCCTCCCCTTCTGACGTCGCCGCCTCCCACTCCCTCGCCCTCCGCGCTCTCGTTCTCGCAGCCCAACCCCTCCACACACACCCGGAACCGCACAGCACCCACCCTCACCACCACACGCACTCACAACAAGACGACTCCCACCTGTTGCACACTGACCCGCAAACCTCCCACCCATCCCCACCGGAATCCTTTCACACACGATCTGCACAACCACACTCATCGACCCACAACCGCTCACATCTAGACCCAGCCTATCCTGACACTGGTGGGGGTGGGAGCAGAGGCGCAGGTGCAAGGGAACCCGCAGGGGAAGCAGCAAGAGAGGGCGGAGCAGCAGCAGGAGCAGAGAGGGCAGCGGCAGGGGCGGCCTCAGTAGCAGCAGTGGGGTGGGCAGAGGGACTAAGTGCGCGCGTGCAAGGGGATCAACAAGTGGGGGGGCGATCAGCAGAGGGGTGTGGGGAGGGAGGGGCAGCAGCGCAGGGGGGTGTGCTGGCAGCGCAGGGGGGAGTGCTGGCTGTGGGGGGACACATGGTGGTGAAGCTGCTGGAGGGTGACGACACTCCAGGTACAGAGTGGTGGGCAGGGGTGGGGGTGGGCAGGGGTGGGCAGGGGTGGAGATACCCCAGGCATGGTGGGAGGGAGAGTGGGGGCAGTGCATGGGTGGAGAAGGGGGAGTGGGGGCACAAATGCTTGCTGCTTCGTCCTGGCCCTTGCGCTGCACCCCGTTCCTCCCTCTCTTGCACCCAACCTTCCTTCCCAACCATCCGTGGCTCGCATCGCAACCCATCGCCCTCTGAAATCCCCCTCCCCCCCCCCCACCCCTCCCCCCAACACCTCCAGCATACGTGGCGGAGTGCAGGCAGCTCTTCTCATCCGTAACGCGCCTTCGCCCCAAGGCCACCCGGGCGACTTTTGAGGCGCCTCAAAAGCACCCTCCCCCACTCCCCCACCTCCCCCACCTCCCCCACCTCTTCCCCCCCCCCCCCCCCCCCCTTCCCCCCCGAACACCCCCAGCGTACGTGGCGGAGTGCAGGCAGCTCTTCTCATCAGTAACGCGCCTTCGCCCCAAGGCCACCCGCGCCTCGTCCCGCGAGATATACGTCATTGCCAAGGGGTTCAAAGGGGCTTCCAAGGGGTTCGCAGGGTTCTGAGGGGTGTAGTATAGAGTAGAGCCTAGAAGCCCGAAGGGTTTCAAAGGGTCGCAAAACCATCCGTGAAAGTTGTGGCATCGCAGGGTGTAATACGGTATGCTGGTTCAGATTCAAATGTCTGTAAAGAATGTACATGCAAAGCAAGATCTGCGGATTACTCACATAGTGCACGTCATGCATGCCACAAGCATTTGGTACCACCCACCCACCCACCCACCCACCCACCCACCCACCCACCCACCCACCCACCCACCCACCCACCACACCACACACATCCATGTGTGCATGCCTCAAAGCCCCTCCGGTGAGAGCGGCAGGACACTTGAATGCGTGGCCGGTGCCCACCTTCCCTAGCACGGTACTAGATAGACATAGAATAGATAGACCCCACTGCACACATCCACTCTACGTGTCTCCCAGGCCTACTCCAGCAAGAGGGACGAGAACTATAGAGTTGGGGACACATGGCACATGGCACATTTGCACCCAACCCAACCATGCATGCCCAATGTGTCCTGCCTGCCCCCTGCCCTAGTACTTGATAGCCCCCACGCCGCGCATCCACGTGAGCGTGTCTCCAAGGCCGTCGTCCAGTGAGAGCGGTGAGTACTCGAGGTCTTGCTGTGCCTGCTCGCTGCTGTACGCCCAGTCGTGGTTGAACGCCCGCACCGACTGGCGGTTGGGGGGAGGGAGGGGGAGAGACATGGGGGAAGAGCGGGATTACAGGCATGGAGGGGAGAGTCGTGCTGCTTGCTGCTGTACGCCCAGTCGTGGTTGAACGCCCGCACCGACTGGCGGTTGGGGGGAGGGAGGGGGAGGGGAAGAGTGGGGAGAGCGGATTTGCGGGCATGGAGGGGAGGGAGGGTTGGGGTGAGTGGAGAGGTAAGGGACGAACACGCGGAGGAGGAAGAAAGGAAGGGTGGGAGAAAGGGAAGTGAGAGGAGAGACAGGGAAGAGAGTGAGATGAACGGGGAGAAGCAGGGCGGGGGCGAGCATGAAGGGGGGCAGCGCTAGAATGCAGGCAGCTGTGGGCTCATATCACAGGCCCCCAGCCAGCCACAACCATATCACAGGCCCCCAGCCAGCCACCCCAGACAAGCACCCGAATCACCACCCCAATGGCCCACACGAATCCATGGTCCCGTGGCACCACCCCAGGCCAAGACACAACACACACGCACCTGGTGAGTAAAGATGGGTATGGGCCCGCCCAGTTTCGCCACCAGCACCGACACCCACCCCAGCACGGCCACGAGCCATAGCGGCAGGCGCAGGCGCGGGGGGGGCTTGCCGGTGGCGCGGTGCACGGCTTGGAAGAGCTGCAGCATGGACGCGTTCTCGCCGCCCAGGATGTAGCGCCGCCCGGGCTTGCCGCGGTTGAGGGCGGCGAGCAGGCCCAGCACCACGTCGTTGACGTGCACAAAGTTGTTGAGCCGGGTCCCGCTGCCTAGAAGCCCAGGTAGGCGGCCCTGGAAGTGGTCCGCAATCTGGGGGGGTTTGGGTGGGATGGCATGGCATGGGGGCCGAGGACCACGTCGTTGACATGCACGAAGTTGTTGAGACGGGTCCCGCTGCCCAGCAGCCCGGGTAGCCGCCCCTTGAAGTGGTCGGCGATCTGATGGCACGGCATGGGATGGCATAGTATGGCGCACAGAAAGAAAGGGGCGGATGGGGGTGCGGGGAAGTTTTGAGTTGACCAGAACTCTGGGTAGGCGGCCTTGAAAGCGGTCAGCAACTGAGTGGGATGCGTGGGCGGCGAGATGCCAAGCAGCCCCAGCACGACGTCGTTGACGTGCACCAAGTTGTTGAGGCGCGTGCCGCTGCCCAACAGGCCGGGTAACCGCCCCTGGAAGTGGTCGGCGATCTGATAGCATGGCATGGGGGACAAAGGGAGGTGGGAGGGGGGTGGCATGGCGTGGCAGCCACACGGGGGCAGGGGAGGATGGAGGGGAGTTTGAGGCGAGCAGGCCGAGCATGGCATGGTATGGCGGACAGAAAGTGGTCCGCGACAGGGGGGGTGTGGTGTGGGTGGGATGGCGCAGGACGGTGGTCCGCGACCTGATATGGCGTGGCATGGGATGGGATGGGATGTGAGCCACAAGTGCGAAATCGGCGGGGAAAAGGTGTGGCATAGGGGTGGGAAGGGGGGCGGATGAGGACAGGGGGACAGGAAAGAGGGTGGGAGAAGAACTATTGGTCGGAGAAGCATGAGCGAGGGAGGAAACCGAAAGGAGGAGTCTGGCAAGAAGGATGGTGGAGTAGGGCGGGGCAGGGTTAGGGAGGGCGGGGAGAGCGCACAAGAGTTAACATAACCTGCAAGCAACATAACCTCTCCCATGGTGGTTGCCCCGTACCATCTTGACGACCAGGTTAGAAGCACTGATGCGGCCGCGCCCATAGATCACGCACGGGCACACGAGCACCACGTGCAGCCCCTCGCCCTCGCTTGGCACTGGCTCCCATACCATCTCACTACCACCGTGCTGCCATGCCATGCCCCTCACCATCTTGACGACAAGGTTGGAGGCGCTGATCCTGCCGGGCCCGTAGATCACGCACGGATACACGAGCACCACGTCCAGCCCCTCGCTCTCCACCGCCCGCCTCGCCACGCGCTCCGCCTCCCACTTGGTGCGCTCATACTCCGTGCAGAAATCACGGCCCTTGTGCTCCTGCGAGGAGAGGAGGGAACGAGGCACGGTTTGAGGGTTTGCACACTCTGCGTTGGTCTCCCACCACCCATCGTCTCTGTCTGTCCGCCGCCCACTGGACGCGCTCGTACTCCGTGCAGAAGTCCCGCCCGTTGTGCTCCTGCGCGGGAAGGAATGGCGACCACGGGGCATGGGGGCCACAAGGTGTGGGGCCCACACGCCATGGGGGCCACAAGGTATGGGGGCATAGACACGGAGCATGGAAACATAGGGCACAACACAGGAGGCAACGGGACACAGGGCACGGAGCGTATGCATGCAGATGCGGAGCTCTCTGGCAGCGTCTCCTGCATGTTTCACGTGCGAGTACCTGGTCAGAGTCGCCAATGTAGCCATCGGTGGGCCCCAGGGCGAAGAAGGACGAGACGTACACCAGGCGACGCAGCGACTCCGTCTCTCGCAGCGCCTGCAGCATGTTCTCCAGCCCGCCCACGTTCACCTGCAAGGGATGGTATGGCGTGCGCGGGATGGTATGGCGTGCATGGGATGGTATGGCATGCATGGGATGGTATGGCATGCATGGGATGGCATGGCATGCATGGGATGGCATGGCATGCATGGGATGGTGTGGCATGCATGCGGCAGCTTTTGAGTTGACTCAAAAGAGGGCGCCTTTCGCAGCGCCTGTAGCATGTTCTCTAGCCCGCCCACCTTCACCTGGTGGGTGGGGTGGGTGGCATGGCATGGCATGGCGTGGCATGGCATGGCATGGATGGCACAGGTGGCGCCTCTCGCAGCGCTTGTAGCATGTTCTCCAGCCCGGCCCCATTGTCACCTGCGAGGGTGCAGCGGATGGTACGGCATGGCGTGCATGGGGCAGGGATTGTAACCGGCATGGCTGGTCGTGCATTGACTTGCATGCATGGCTCCACGTCAGCGCCTCTCTACTTCGCTCAACCCCATTTCTCCTCTCACTCCCATTCCCTACTGTCACACCACATTTCCTGCTGCTCGCACTAAACAGCTCCCGCCGTGACCCCTCGCCCCCCACGTGCCCATCCTGCCACCCGCTGCACCCCACATGCATCCAGACACGTCGCATGCAGCGGCGTGCCATGCTGTGCCCCCTGGTGCCGGCGCAAATATCCAACCGTCCTCGCAATCCGCCTCACTCACCCCCGCCGTGGTCCAACTCGCTGGAACGTTCTCCCGCAGCCGCTCCTGCAGCCCTCCCTCGCCTCTCCTTCGCCACCATCACTCCCTTCCCGCCTCCCTCGCTGATCTCCCTACCTCGCCACACGTTCAACAAGTCGCTCCCTCCCACCGAACAAGCCCATACTGCCCCGTCTCGCTGCCACGACTGCCCCGCCATTCTCACCGGCCCGTCTGATCTGCTCACCCGCTCGACCGTCTCACCCGCTCGACCGTCTCACCCGCTCGACCGTCTCACCCGCTCGACCGTCTCACCCGCTCGACCGTCTCACCCGCTCGACCGGCTCACCCGCTCGACCGTCTCACCCGCTCGACCGTCTCACCCGCTCGACCGTCTCACCCGCTCGACCGTCTCACCCGCTCGACCGTCTCACCCGCTCGACCGTCTCACCCGCTCGACCGTCTCACCCGCTCGACCGTCTCACCCGCTCGACCGTCTCACCCGCTCGAAGGCGCGTTCGTCGGGCCACCACGCCTGCACGAGCGCCGCCAGGTGGAACGCCGCCTCGCAGCCATCCGCTGCAGCCAATACGGACGCGCCATCTGTCACGTCGCCGTACGCGCGCTCCGCCGCCAACGGCAGGTCCGACACGTCGCTGCTGCGCCGAACCAGCACCCGAACCTGCGCTCGTGGTTTGGGAAGAAGGGATGACTTGGTGATATGGCTCGCTGCTGCTCACGCGAGACTCCAAACGGCGTAACTTAATCGCCTACTCGTTGCACTCATCGTGTTCACGCATACGACCAGCACGACATGGGTGTTATAGCGAACAAGCCAATAACGGAGCCTCACATTGTGTCCCAGTTCAACGAGCCGCGCTACAAGCGCCGTGCCTAGGAAGCCCGTGGCTCCTGTCACCAGAATCCGCATGGCGGAGCAGTCGCAAGCGCGCAGCGAGTTTGCGCGACGGCGCGCGGAGAAATTTACCACGAGCGGAGTCGAGATGAGAGGTTCCGCGGCTTGAGGCGGATTCCGCCTTTTCGAGCGCTACGGCCTCTCGCAAGCCACGGATGCTAACCCTTACCCGACCCGAGGCTCCCTATGTGTTTAGGGTTTGCGCCGAATTCACCAGCATCGGCGACTCGCCAAAGGCGTCGGAATTTCTACCCGCTGAAGTTCAGTTCAGTGGCCTCAGCCTCACCTTCCTACCCGCTGAAGTTCAGTTCAGTGGCCTAGCTGGGAGGGAAACTCCAGCCTCACCTTCCTACCCGCTGAAGTTCACCTCACCTTCAGCTCGCCGGCCTTGGGCTTGTCGTGGCGTGGGTGGAGTGTAGAGTGAAGTCGACTGCCTGCAGTCGGGGTGTGGTCGGTGGGTGGGGTGTAAAGAATTATTTTCCAGCAGGCAAGTTTCAATGTTACGTTACCTGTTGCAGTTTCGCACAGTTTCGCAGGTGGCTTTCTGGTAAAATTGTCCGCACTGCAAATCTGGGCTCGAACGAAAAGAACGGCACTTGGATGGTTACCACGTCCCTACCCAAACCCCTCCTCACCACTCGGTCAGCCCAGTTGATTTTGACGAAATTTTCGCAGTCGTTCCACCGCAACTCTCTTTTCGCACTGCTGTGATCGGGCTGCCCGTTGATCCGAGGTCAGGCTTGTTTGCTGCGTGCTGCGTTTTCCCCTCACCTTCACAGCAGCTGCTGTGCTTTTTCTTTTGAGCTGCTGTGCCTTTTCTCCTGTGCCATGCTCGCCTCGCCCTGTATCCTGCGTTGTTCAGGCACGCGAGACTGATAATGAGGCTATGGCACGCGCTAGCGCGGATGGGAATCCGAAAAAGCCGAGTCTAACCCACTTGTACCGCGAATTCAACTGGGATGCGTAGGCTGGCTGATGAGAGGGATGCGGGAGCCGAGGTTCATGGGAAAAGCGCGAGCTTCGGGTCAAGCCAGGTCGAATTCCATATCACCTCAGTGACGGCGCATGTTCAATGAAGTGATCGTTGAGTGCTGACGTGAATTCGTAGTCGCGCCACGTCACCACCGTCACCGTGAGGTTCCGCCAATTCAGTGGACTCACAGCACCGCCACGCTCGGAGATCTCTAGGCCAGGTCGCGGACGCAGGACCTTGTGCGCTGTTTCTCCTGCTTCCCCGCTGTCCTGCTCTTTCGCTGTCCTGCTCCCCCGCTGTCATGCTCTTTCGCTCTCCTGCTCCCCCGCTGTCATGCTCTTTCGCTCTCCTGCTCCCCCGCTGTCCTGCTCTTTCGCTCTCCTGCTCCCCCGCTGTCCTGCTCTTTCGCTCTCCTGCTCCCTCGCTGCCCTGCTCCCTCGCTCTCCTGCTCCCTCGCTGTCCTGCTCTCCTCTCTGGTGAAGCGCCGAAAGCTGACCTGCGCCGTAACTGCCGCTTCTTCCGCCGCTGCCGAAGCCATGTGGGACGGCGAGGAGGAGGAAGACGACAAAGTGTGCCACACGCGCGCGGAGTATCGGGCGGGGAGGCGCGAGAGGGCTGTGCGCGTTTACACTGTGAACGAGGAGTCGAGGTGCGGTGGGGTAGTGTGGTGTGTTGAGGTGTGGGATGGGATGGGATGGATGGGATGGGATGGGATGGGATGAAATGGGATGGGTATTTCCCTACACATTCATGTGCAACTTTGGCAGTAACCGTACCTGATTGCCCACTGCTTGTGGCTGTGCTTTGCTGCATAACATGCCTTGCTATAACATGCCTCGCTATTGCACCGCTCCATAACATGCCACTGCATAACATGCCTCGCTATTGCACCGCTCCATAACATGCCTCGCTATTGCACCGCTCCATAACATGCCTCGCTATTGCACCGCTCCATAACATGCCACTCCATAACATGCCTCGCTATTGCACCGCTCTCCACCGCACCGCTCACTGCAGGTACCTGATGGTGCGCAACGTGCCAGCGCTGGGATGTGTGGGTGACTTGCTGCGGCTGTTCTCCGCACATGGACCCATCGAGGAGTGAGTTGTGCAGGAGTGAGTGGGAGTGGAGTGAGTGGGGGGGGGAGTGAGTTGGGGGGGGAGTGAGTGGGAGGGAGATTGAGTGTGGGGGGGGTGTGAGCCAGCGCCGCCTGCTGTATCATGGCATCATCGCGTGCTGATGCCTTGTCAATGAAACATGCATGCATTCCATGCATCACTGAAGCATGCATGCATTCCGTGCATCACTGAAGCATGCATGCATTCCATGCATCACTGAAGCATGCATGCATTCCTTCATGTCTTTAAAGCTGTTTCACGTGTTTGGTGCAATCATTCCACTATTCCATTATTCCACCATGCCACCACGCCGCCGCATGACGTGGCACCACGTGGCATGGCACGGCATGACGTGGCATGGCAGGCACCGCATGATGGACGAGGAGGACGCACCTCCCTTCACCGACGTTGTGTGGCTCAAATTCACCCACCTGCACCATGCCAGGTGATCCATGCATTGCATGCATGCAGGGTGATGCATGCAGGGTGATGCATGCAGGGTGATGCATGCAGGGTGATGCATGCAGCATACCAGGATTGGATTCACCATTCGAGGTTACGCATGGATGGGATTGATCACGGAAGCCATGAAATTTTAAACGCACATAGCAGTGCGTGGCGATGCAAGTATATTTCCAGTGCGTTGTGCTTGCCGTGCCTGAATCGTCGAACACCATGCCCTTTCCACATGTCCTTGCTCCTCTCATTGTGTCTGCTTCCATGCTGTCTGTTCCTTTGCACTGCCCAGGTTCGCAAAGAGAAAGCTGGACGAGTATCCATTCATGGGCAGCGCGTTGAAAGTTTCGTTCCTGCCCGGGCACGAGACGATGGAGGACACGTGGGCGAAGCTGGAGGAGCGGCGGCGAATCGTGGCCGTCCGTTGCCGACGTGAGAGACGGGGGGTAACTAGGGGAAGGGGGCGGGAGGGAGGGGGGGGATTATGAAGTTTTTTCAAGTGATGGAGTGGGGTTTGGTTGGGTGGAACGGGGAGAATTGGAGAAGGGGTAAAAGGGACAAGGGCTTGGAGAGGGAAACGGAAGTAGGCATAGGAGAGGAAAGATGGAGAGAAAGAGGTGCCGTGAGATGGGATGACGTGATTTGGACAGCCAACCATGCATTGATGCTTGAAACCGTTCTGTCGTGCATGCTGCCGCACTGCTGGGTATCCGTGGCAGGGCTGGCGGAGGAGCAGGCGGGTTTGCAGACGGGTGGAGGGCGGGATGACAACAGAGCGAGGCACGGAGATGCGCCCACAGGGATGGATGAAGGGGCACATGCGGCAGCAGCAGCAGCAGCAGCAGCAGCAGCAGCAGCAGCAGCAGCAGCAGCAGCAGCAGCAGCAGCAGCAGCAGCAGCAGCAGCAGCAGCAGCAGCAACATCTACAGCAGCAGCTTCACCGGGCGCAGTTTCAGCATCAAGCGCAGCAGCGCCAGTAGCAGCAGCAGTACCAGCACGAGCAGGCAGCATCCCGCCAGGCAGCATCCCGCCAGGCAGCATCCCGCCACTGGCACCCCTTCCACCGCCGCGTCCCCAGGTGTGCGCCCCTGCTCTCACCCTCACTCTCCTTGCTTCACCTGAATCGCACCACCTTCACTACACTCTACCCCCCAAGTATACACCCTACACCGGGTGAACTCTCGAGCTGGACTCTTGATGCATTGCCGCCACGCATGCAGCCATGCATGCAGCCATGCAGTGCAAGGCATGTTGCAGTCTCGACCTTATACCTCGGTTCTTCTCCTCCCCACCCACCCACCCGCAGGCACCACCTCTGCCTCTCTCTTCCACCATCCCCACACTTGCTCCACACTCACGCCTGCAGCCCACCCAGCCACATCAGCAGGCCGCCCAGCCACATCAGCAGGCCGCCCAGCCACATCAGCAGGCCGCCCAGCCACATCAGCAGGCCGCCCAGCCACAGCAACACGTGGCAGCAGGTAGCAGCAGCAGTGCAGTCAACATAGACACCAGCAGCGACGTGATCCCCGCAGCGAGCAGCAGGCAGCCCGGCAGCACCTCTCCCACCAGCAGCACCACCCTTGCCACCAGCGACAGCTCCCCCGCACCCCGTGCGCCGTGCTACTTTGGCGTTGCCTCCATGGATGCTGCTGTGGCTCGCGTGCGATCACACCTCGCTGCGCTGCACGCCCCACCACACCCCCACGCCACCCCGCCTTCTGTACGCCGCCTCCCCTTACACACTGCACACCCCCTCCCCTCCCCTTATACCTCCGCCCTCACCTGCTCGCCTTCTTCTCTCGCCCGCTCTCCCCCTCTCCATCCCCTCCTTTCTCTCCCTTCCTCCCCCCGTCCTTTCCCTGCCCCCCCCCCCCCCCCCCCCTCACGTCCCATTGATTCATCTGCACCTTACAAGCGCTCTGACTGCCTTTTCTACTACATCCGTTCGCCATGTTCTTGTGCACTGCTACCATCTCCTCATGCCCCATGCCATGCCATGCGTCCCTTCACTTGTGCGTTCCTCGCGTGCAATCCACCACAGCAGGCGGGCACTGTGAGGGACTGTGCAGCATCGGAGCATGGGACTGGGAGTGCACACGAGCACGGTCTATGCGACACACAGCACATTCACGCCAGCAGGGAGGCGCACGACCGCTGCACAGCAAGTCTGGCTCAAGGCACGGCAGGAGGGGAATCGGCGGGTGTAGGTGGGGGGGATGCTTGTGGTGCCGAAGCAGCACTGACAATGGTGCAGCCCCCGGGGTTGGTCCATCAGACCCACGTGCAATGTGTGCCCCGCAATGGTGCAAATGAAGGTGCAGGTGATGTGCGGCCTACCAAAAAGAAAAGAAGACGAATCTAGCTTGCATTGAATATGTAAGGCGAGATGTTACCTTTGCCATTTTCTTGGAATACACAAGTTGTCTTAGGCTTGGCTGAGGTGTATATCGCGGATGAAATTCACGCCTCCAATCACAACCCGACGAAAGATCGGGGGGCTGTTGGAATTCATCCAATCGCATCTCACCCCATTCTATTCGACGTTCACCCGACCGACACGTCACTTCCAGCTGGCAAATCCGCGATGCCCGGGCCTCCGTGCCGGCCGACAGCGCGCCGGCCGCGAAATTGCGTTGTGATAGCTGTCGAGACCGATCGCCTGTTGTCGTCGCGATGTGCGCGCGCGTGCGCGCTGATCGTTATCGCCGCGTCGCTGCTACCATCGCTCTCCTTCGCCGCTGAATCCGCGGAAAAGACGCGCCGCGTCTCTAGCGAGTCGCGGAAATCGAATTCGTCAGGTTCGTCGTGCCGGCCTCGTCCCTCCATCTCAACCGCACGATCGCCAGCCTCCCCCGTCCCGCCTCGTCTATCCTCTCTTCTCTCCTTTCTCCTCTCCTTTTGCCAAATCGCTCTTATCCCCTGCGGCGGTCGTTCCGCATGCATCGGAGGGCGCGCGGAGTCGCACCGGCCTCTCGCCGCCTCCGCCTATCATCCCTCCGCGTCCCACGCTTCTCTCTCGCACCACATCACTCCACCTCCCTAATCCACTGCCCACCCTCCTTTCCCCTCAATTCTGCACCTTACGGCCCGCCCTGTCAAGCAGGCTATGCTTTCCAATCGACCCCGCCGCCGCCTTCTCGCCCAACTCTCCCCCCACGCCCGCATCCTTCCCCGCCCCCGTCCTCCCCGACCCGCCCACACTCTCCCGCCCCCTCTCTCGCCCACCACTGCCGTTCTCTAGTCCGCCCCCCATAACTCCTCCGCTCCTCCCTTCCCCCCCCACCCCCTTCTCCCCGACACTCTCCCTTCCTCCCCTTTCTCCCGCCGCGCAGTCCCCCCCGGGCGCTGCATATCGCAGGGCGGGCAGTGGCCGCCCTTTTGGCTGCACGGGAAGCTTCCGCGAAAGAGCCAAAAAGGCGGCGTGCAGGAGCTAACGCTGTGCCGCGTGTACAAGGATAGCACGTGCTGCGGGCGCGAGAACACTGACCACGCTTTAATCTCCACTAGGTGAGTGCCGAAGCAAGGGGAGCAGAGGCTGGGGGGAGGGCGTGAGGAGGGAAGGGGAACGGGAGCTGACGCTGTGCCGCGTGTACAAGGATAGCACGTGCTGCAGGCGCGAGAACACTGACCACGCTTTAATCTCCACTAGGTGAGTGCCGAAGCAAGGGGAGCAGAGGCTGGGGGGAGGGCGTGAGGAGGGAAGGGGAACGGGAGCTGACGCTGTGCCGCGTGTTCAGGACCTCACGTGCTGCAGGCGCGAGAACAGCGACCACGCCTTGATCTCCTCCCAGTGAGAGGCGCGTAAGAAGTGGGGGAGTAGGAGGGAAAGGGAAAGGAAAGGGGGGAAGAGGAAGGGTGTGGGAGGGAGGGGGAAGAGGCAGTGGGGCGGAGTACGTGGGTGGTGACGTGTTTCGATAGCGCCGTGGGCTTGAGAGGCCAGCAGAAGCACATTTGGACGGAGGGCGAGTGGTGAGTGGTGGGGTGAGGGCAGGCGATGGGGAAAGTTAGAGGGGCGGTGTGCCATGTGCCCCTTCTTTGCATTGCCCCCTTGCCCTCTACCCTGTTACGATGTCCTTTTCTCACCCCGCGTGCCCCTCTTTCCCTGTTGCCTCTGGCTCCGTCTGTGAGAACAATAGTTTGAAGAGAAGTTGATGATTGAATTGAGGAGATTGGGGGTTTACATAGGGAGTGGGTTGGATCCTAGCCTAGGTGAGCATTATTGGACCCCAACCAAGAAGTTGGGTTGGGGGATTATTGGTGGGGTCCAATAATGTTGGCCAAGTTGGAGTTGGGCCAACATTATTGGAGTGAACCAATAATTCTACCCAACCCAACCTTTGGGGTCCAATAATTGGACCAAGGTTGGGTTTCCAACCTACAAACTGGGTGACCCTTGTTTGTACACCCAAACTGAGTTTGGGTGCTTAACTCTAGCCTAACCTATAACATCTATGCAGGTTACACAAGAAGATAGATTCTAACACAACCCCTTAACCTGCAGAGATGCGGAAAGGCTTGAGTGAAGCAACCCCTGAATCAAGGCGCGCCTGGGGGAGCGAGGCCGATGAGGCGGAGAAGAGCAGAGTGCGCAGGGCGAAGGAGTGCTTTGGTGAAGATATCTGCCAAGTTGGCTTCAGCGGCGATCTTACGAACGGCAATGAGATTCTGTTGGACGAGTTCACGGATGAAGAAATAGCGGAGCTCAATGTGTTTGGAGCGACCGTGGAACACGGGGTCTTGGGTGAGATGGATGGTGCTGGCATTGTCACACCAGAGCGTGGGGCAGCGCTGGGGAACACCAAGCTCAGCCAGGAGGAAGCAGAGCCAGCGGGACTCCTGGGCGGCCATGGTGCCAGCATAGAGCTCAGCTTCACAAGAGGAGAGGGCGATGGCAGAGGAGCGGGTAGAGCGCCAGCTGATGAGGCCGCTGCCGAGGGTGAAGCCATAGCCTTGGGAGGAGCGGCGGTCTGGCTGGCAGTCTGCCCAGGAGGAGTCGCTGAAGCCAGAGAGAAGGGGGGGGGAAGATCCACCCAGCGTGAGAGCGTGGTCTCTGGTGCCACGGAGATAGCGGAGGACCCGCTTGGCGGCAGTCCAGTGTTCCTCAGTGTGGCGGCCGGGGCCGACGAACCGAGCAAGGACACTGACAGGGTAGGCGAGGTCGGGACGAGTGCACATCATCGCGTACATCAGCGACCCAACAAGCTCGGCGTAGGGCCGGGAGGAGGTGGAGGGGGAGGTGGGTGGCGCAAGCTGGTGGCCGAAGGGGAGAGGGGTGGAGACCGGTTTGGCTTGTGCCATCTCGAACTTCTCCAGGACCTGGCCGATGTAGTGGGACTGGGAGAGGGTGATGGTGCGGGCGGATCGATCACGGGTGATAGCCATGCCGAGGTAGTTCTGAAGCGGACCAAGGTCCTTGCACTTGAGACGTTCCTGAAGTGACCGCTTCACATGATCCATGTCAGCCCTGGTGTCGGCGAGCAGGATCATGTCGTCGACGTAGACGGAGATGAAGAAGCGACTGGGGGAGGAGCGGATGAAGAGGCTGGCATCGGAGTGGGAGGGGGAGAAGCCAAGGGACTGGAGAGTAGCAGACAGCTTCGCATGCCATTCTCGTGGTGCCTGCTTCAGGCCGTAAACCGGGCGCTTTAGTTGCCAGACGGTGTTTTCGGGGAAAGCCGCATGAAACCCAGGAGGTCGGCGGAGGAAGATGCGCTCGTGCAGTTCGCCTTGCAGGAACGCGTTGGAGACGTCCATGGAGTCAATCTCCATGTCGTCACGCGCACCGATGTCCATAAGGGTGCGTAGGGTGGCTTGCCTGAGGGTGGGGGCAAATGTGAACCAGTAGTCCTCAGCCCAGGTCTGGGTGAACCCCTTGGCAACATAGCGGGCTTTGTAGACTGGCTCCTCTCCCGGCAGCTGTTTGACTCGAAAGATCCACTTGCCCTCGACAAGGTTGGCGTCAGGGGGAAGGGGAACGTCGATAAAGGAGTCGTTGCGAATGAAAGCCTCACACTCCAGGAAGATAGCGGCTAACCACTTGTCAGCGTCAGGGCAGGTGATAGCCTCCTGGAAGGTGGTGGGGACGAAGATGGTGGGAGCGGAGATCGCGCTAAGGATCAGAGCGCCGAAGAGGTCAGGGTAAAGTGTGAAGATAGAGGGAGTGTGGTGCCGGACCATGGCGAACTCCTCATGGGAATCCTCGAGCTGGTGGAGGGAGGAAGGTGGCGGTGTGCCAAGGATGGGATCAAGAGAGCGGGTGTGCATGCGAGGGAGGAGGAAGGGTGAGGAGCGGGCAGACGCCCTCCGCCGCTGCTGCTGCTGCTGCTGCTGCTGGACCCCCTGTTGCTGCTGCGGCCGCTGCTGCGGCTGTTGTTGCTGCTGCTGCGGCTGCCCCTGTGGTTGTTGCGGCGGCCACTGCTGCTGCCCCTGCTGCTGCTGGTGCGGCTGCTGCTGCGGCTGCCCCTGCTGCTGCTGCTGCCCCTGCGGCTGCTGCTGCGGCTGCCCCTGCTGCTGCTGCTGCTGTTGCTGCTGCTGCCCCTGCTGCTGCTGCTGCGGCTGCTGCTGTTGCTGCTGCTGTGGCTGCTGCTGCTGCCCCTGCGGCTGCTGCTGCGGCTGCTGCTGCTGCTGCTGCTGCCCCTGTGGCTGCTGCTGCGGCTGTTGGGATGGATGAGAAGGAGAGTAGGAAGGAGAGGAGGGAGAGGGAGCCGCGGAGTGTGCAGGGGATGCTGGAGCAGTGGGATCATAGATATCGGCAGATGAGGGTGGCGGAAGCGGAGTGGGGAGGGGTGGGAGAAGGGGTGCTGGAGGGAGGAGGGGAGGGAGGACGGTGTCGGTCCAAGCGAGAGGACGGGTGGGAAGAGGGAGGGGGTCTGGTGGTGGAGAGGAATAATATGGGGTGGTCTCATCAAACACAACGTCAATGCTGCGGATGAGGCGACCGGAGGGAGGGTGAAGGAAAAGGTAACCGGGCGAGTCGCGGTTGTGGCCGAGGTAGACAGACTCGAGGGCACGAGAAGCGAGCTTGCCGTGGGTGCGTTCAGGTGGAGGGATGAGCACATATGCCTTGCAACCCCAAACACGAAGTCCGGCAGCGTCAGGTTTGGTCCCTGACCAGAGCTCCGTGGGGGTAGTGGCGGTGTGGCAGGGATGGGAGCGAAGGTTGAGGAGGAGGGTAGCATGAAGGAGTGCATAGCCCCAAAGAGAAGGAGGGGTGGAGGCGTGAGCGAGGAGACAGCGGGCGATCTTAGTGATTTCGCGAATGCGGCTCTCTGCGACGCCGTTCTGCTGTGGGGAGTGGGGAAGAGTGTGGGTCTGTTGGATGCCATGAGTGGTGCAGTAGTGAGTGAGTGCGCGATTGAGGAATTCGCCTCCCCCATCAGAGTGGAGGCGGTCAATGGGACGTTTGAAGTGGGTGCGGCATTGTTCTGCCCAGTGAATGATCATGGTCGGCGCCTGGGCTTTCGTGTGGAGGAGGAAAACGGAGGAGTAGCGGCTGTGATCGTCAACCAGAACCAGCATGTAGCGATGGCCTTGGCGGGAGCGGGTGGGAGAGGGCCCCCAAAGGTCCATATGGACAAGGTCAATTGGTGCAGGAGCAAAGGATGGGTGGCTGTGGTGAGGAGATTGTTTGAGTTTGCCGTGGATGCAGGAGGGGCATGGGGGGGCCGGGGAGGAGGGAAAGGGAGGAAGGGTGGGAGGGAGGCTGTGAAGGAGTCGTGAGGTGACAGCAGTGCGGAGAGCGGCGAAATTGGGATGGCCGAGTCGGTGATGTAGGAGAACAGCGGGGTGGGAGAGATGGTCGGAGGTGGAGGGGATTGGAACGAGGGAGGGCGGGATGAAGGAGTGGGGGGATGGTGGAGTGGGGGGGGAGGGAGGGAGATGGGGAGGGCTAGTGGAGGTACCCGCACGAGTGGTGACATGACAGGAGGATGGCCACGGAGTGCGGAGAGTGTAGAGGCGAGTGCGGGGGCAGAGGGGTATGCGGAGGAGGAAGCGGCCGGAGGCAGTGTGGTAAAGGTCACAGTAGGTGGCATTACCAGGGTAGACCGCAGTGATACCTGCACTTTGTATTTCACGGTGGGAGAGGAGGTTGTTTCGGAGAGTGGGGATGTGGAGACCAGTTACCTTACCAGAGGGGAAGAGTGAGCAGGGGAGAGTGGAGAGGTGTGTGCATGGAATAGTGAAGCTGCTGTCAGCGCCGTGAACCTGAGTGGGAGGAGAGAGGGGTGTGAGTGTACCAGCGTCTTTGAGAGCAGTTTCAGTGGCCCCACTGTCCAGGACAAAGTCCAGAGTGGGTGAGGAGGAGGAAGGCACGGAGTACTGGAAAGTGGTTTCATTAATGGTGGACGGGTACATGGAAGGAAGAGAGGGTGAGATAGCAATGTTGCCAAGAAAGTTCTCCTGAGTGAGAGGGGTGGCAGTGCCACTGGGGGGGGGTGGAGTACCCCAAAGGGGAGCCGGTGAGGCCTGAGCGGCCATGGCTGCGGTGCCGAAGTTTAGCTGCTGCTGCTGCCAGGGAGGAGGGCTAGGTCCCCACTGGGGCTGGGGTCCTGATCCCCATGGGTGCTGCTGCGGCTGCGGCTGCTGCTGCTGCTGCGGCTGTGGATAAAACAGCTGCTGTAGTTGCTGGTGCTGCTGCTGCTGCTGCTGCTGCTGCTGCTGCTGCTGCTGCTGCTGCTGCTGCTGCTGCTGCTGCTGCTGCTGTAGGAGGTGCTGCTGCTGGAGGTTGAGAAAAGGTGTGGGGGGAGCAAGGAGGCGGAGGTGGGCAGGGAGGTAAGCGGGGTTGGTTTGGATGTCGGTGGGGGAGGGACGTGGGGAGATCGTTCCCCACTTTGGAGGATTGCCAACGTTACCTCGTGCGTACCAAGCATCATCGAGGGCCTTGAAGCAGGTGGCAGGGGGATGGTTGGTCTGTCCGCAGGGTGTTCCAGCCCGGGGGCCATAGCGGCGAACATAGGTGCAGGGCGGAAGAGTACCGGGGCGACCGCCGCTGCTTGCAGGAGCTCCGCCTGTGGTGGTGGTGCCGTGCTCATCCCCAGTGGTACCGCCACGTCTGCTCGCGCTGCTGCCGCCGGGACCGCTACCTCCCTTGCCTCCACCGCCCCCCTTGCCGTTGTGCTTGCCCTGCTTGCGGGGCTGAGTAGCGTTGAGGGAGGAGGAGGAGGGTTGGGAGGAGGCGAGGTTGACGACGGGGGTGCGAAGTTTGACTTCGGTGTCTATGATCCACTGTTTAACGGAGGCGAGGTCAGCCATGGGATTGGCTTCAGTAAAGGCGTGAAGGCGGGATTCATAGTCGGGAGTGAGGTTAAACAGGAGGCGATGGATTTGGAGGGGTTCGGAGAGGCCGGCTTGGCGGGCTTCGAGGCGGTCAGCTACCTCCCGCATGCGGCCGATGTAGTCGACCGCTCCGTCACAGGTAGCAAGGGTGATTGAGAAGTATTCTTGAAACAGAATGCCGACCGAGCTGATGTCGCGGCGTTCGAACATCGCATGGAGCTCTGCCCAGATGACCGAGGCCCGGAGCTCTCGAGCCTGGAAGCGGCGCATGAGAGAGTCAGGGAGAGCCCCAAGGAGAACGGTGCAGGCACGAGTGTCAGCAGTTGTCCAGGCGATAAGTTTCGGGGTGTAGGTGGCCATGTCGGCTTGGTATTTGGCGACGACGGCGAGGTGAGCGTTGCGGCCGGTAACTGCCTGGTCATAGGCTTCGACTGCTGCATCGTACTCTGCTTTCTTGATAAGGTACGCACGGCGGCGTAGGATGAAGTCTGTATCGGCCGTGGCTTGGTCGGCGGTGAGTTGGAGGTCGGGTTCAAGAGGAGGATCGCCGGGAGAGGGAGGGAGAGGGGGAGTCTCGCCCGGGTGGTCAGGTTCGGTGGGGGGGAGTGCATGGGGACGGCGGAGGAGGACATCAAGGACACGGTAGGGGGGAACCCACGCATCGGAGAGGACCCGTCGGATGCTGCCGACGAAGGAGTGCCAATTAATGGCGGATTTGTCTGCGGCGAGCTGCAGCTTATCGACGGTGGAGGTGTCAATAGGTGGAGGGAGGGGGACGGGGGAGGGTGTGGCGGTAGCCATGGAGGACGGCTGCGGGTGGGCCTGCAGTGGTCACGGGGGGAGGTGAGGCGGCGACGAGGCCGCGGGAGGGAGAGGCCGCGGCGGGCAGCGGCTGAGGCCGCGGCGGGCAGCGGCTGAGGCCGCGGCGGAGTCGGCGCGGAGGCGGCGATGAGGCCGCGGGAGGGAGCGGCGCGGACGGCAGCGGCTGGCGAGGCCGCGGCGGAGTCGGCGCGGAGGCGGCGACGAGGCCGCGGAAGGGAGCGGCGCGGACGGCAGCGGCTGAGGCCGCGGCGGAGTCGGCGCGGAGGCGGCGACGAGGCCGCGGGAGGGAGCGGCGCGGACGGCAGCGGCTGGCGAGGCCGCGGCGGAGTCGGCGCAGAGGCGGCGACGAGGCCGCGGAAGGGAGCGGCGCGGACGGCAGCGGCTGGCGAGGCCGCGGCGGAGTCGGCGCGGAAGCGGCGACGAGGCCGCGGAAGGGAGCGGCGCGGACGGCAGCGGCTGGCGAGGCCGCAGCGGAGTCGGCGCGGAGGCGGCGACGAGGCCGCGGGAGGGAGCGGCGCGGACGGCAGCGGCTGGCGAGGCCGCGGCGGAGTCGGCGCGGAGGCGGCGACGAGGCCGCGGAAGGGAGCGGCGCGGACGGCGGCGGCTGGTGGAGCCGCGGCGGAGTCGGCGCGGAGGCGGCGTCGAGGCCGCGGAGAGGCGTGAGCGGCAGCGGTCGGCGGGACCGCGACGAGGCGAGCGCGGAAGCGGTGATGGGGCCGCGGAAGGGGGGGGGGGGGGGGGGGGGGGGGGGGGTGGTGCGGGCCTTGGCGGCGTGGGAGGCCGCGGGGCTGCGAGGAAGGGAGCGCTTGATGAGAGGGGAAGGGCGGCAAGATGGCCGCGAAAAAAAAAAAAATGAGGAAGAAGGCCGGGGTTGTAGTGGCCTTTGAAAACTTAATAGAGTAGGCCTAGGAATTAAGAGCTCTATACCATGTGAGAACAATAGTTTGAAGAGAAGTTGATGATTGAATTGAGGAGATTGGGGGTTTACATAGGGAGTGGGTTGGATCCTAGCCTAGGTGAGCATTATTGGACCCCAACCAAGAAGTTGGGTTGGGGGATTATTGGTGGGGTCCAATAATGTTGGCCAAGTTGGAGTTGGGCCAACATTATTGGAGTGAACCAATAATTCTACCCAACCCAACCTTTGGGGTCCAATAATTGGACCAAGGTTGGGTTTCCAACCTACAAACTGGGTGACCCTTGTTTGTACACCCAAACTGAGTTTGGGTGCTTAACTCTAGCCTAACCTATAACATCTATGCAGGTTACACAAGAAGATAGATTCTAACACCGTCCCCCTCTCCTCCCTGCCCTGCCTTTGCCCCTGCCGCTGCCCTCCACCTCCCGTTGACCCGCCCTTCCCCTCGACTCCCCCCATCCCCCACTGCTCCGCCCCCCTCCCCCCCCGCCCATCCCCAGGCGGCTGGTGGTGGGGGGGGAGCCCACGGACGACTGCATTGCCAAGTGGGAGGCGCTGCAGTGTGCCACGTGTCATCCCCTCATTGGCACACAGCATGGGCCGCCCGCCATCTGCAACTCGTTCTGCGACGCCGTCTTTTCTGCGTGCGGGGTGGCATTCTTTGCAGCGGATGGCACCTCCCAGGTAGTTATTCTCAGGTGCTCCAGATGAATTTTCAGGTAGTCTTGGCGTGTGCAACCCTTCTCCCTCCATTGGACTTAGCATCTCCTTTCGTCCTTCCCCTCTCTCCTCCCTTTCAATCTTCCTCATTCTTAGACCATCACCCCTCTCTCCCCCGATCGCCCTCTCTCCTCCCTCCTTCACCCTCTTCCCCTCTCCCCCATCACCTCCCCTCTCTCCCTCTCCCCCCCCCCCCCCCGCAGCACATCTTCCCCTGTGGCCGCCGCGATACGCTGTGTGCGCAGGCCGACTCCCTTGCCTCCTCTGGCCGGCAGTTCTGCCAGCTGGCGGGCTTTGATTGGCTGCCCGACTCGCACGGGGCGGGGGTGGATAGGAGAGGGGGGCGAGGGGAGGAGATGGGGGGGAGAGAAGACGAGGAGGGGGAGGAGAGGGTGTGCTTTGATGGCACTCTCCCTTCTGCTGCTGCTGTTGTGAGGAGGAGGCACAAGGGGGCAGGGGGGAAGGGGGAGAAGGGGAGTGGTGAGGAGGAGGAGGTGGAGGAGGAGGGCAGTGGGTGGTGGGAGCAGTGGGCGGGCGGAGAGGGGGGGAGGCCGTTTGGGGGCAACGTGGTGTGGATGGTGTGTGGGCTTGTGCTCACTGCTGGCCTCTCATACATGCGGTCAGTGCGCCTCTCCCCCCCTCCCCCTCCCCCCGCCCTCCCTCCTCCCTCCTCCCCCGTTACCCCTTCACCTTTTCCTTCGCATGCTCATGATTGTCTTTGCACCAACATACCTCTAATCTCCCTTGTCGCTCCCCGCACTCATGAAGCCTTCACCACCCTCCCACCATCACCTTCCCTCACCGCCCTCCTCCCTTCCCTCCTGGCCCCCACTCGTCCCTCCCCTCCTCATCTCCACCATGCGGGGCAGGTGGGTGGCGGCACGCAGCAGGCGCAGGAGGCTGCCTGCGGGGCTCATCGAGCGTGCAGGGGGCGGGGGGCGGCAGCAGCAGCTTGACGGGGTGAGGGCGCGGCAGCAGCAGCAAATGAACGAGGCTGCGGCTGCCGCAGCTGCTGCTGTCTCCCCCACCTCTACCACCACCGCTTCCGCCGCTGCTACCACCACTGCCCGCAGCACCGCGAGGCTCACTCGCTAGTGCACGCACGGGTTGCAGGCAGGGCACGCTGCTGCTCGCTAGTGCACGCACGGGTTGCAGGCAGGGCACGCTGCTGCTCGCTAGTGCACGCACGGGTTGCAGGCAGGGCACGCTGCTGCTCGCTAGTGCACGCACGGGTTGCAGGCAGGGCACGCTGCTGCTCGCTAGTGCACGCACGGGTTGCAGGCAGGGCACGCTGCTGCTCGCTAGTGCACGCACGGGTTGCAGGCAGGGCACGCTGCTGCTCGCTAGTGCACGGATTTGCTAGGCATGAGCGTACGGCCGTGGGCATGGGCATGGGGCATGGGGCATGTGGATGTGGGTAGCGGGGTCATGGGTGGGTTGGTTGTGGGCGAGCAGGTGGTAACTCATCTCACCCATGCATAATGTGCCTCACAGTTGCTTACGAGTTGCGAAAGGTGTGACTTGTACTTGACTTGCTTACAGGTAATGTGAGGTGTAGCTTCTTTTGTTTTACATTTTCTTGTAGTCGTGTGAGGGGAAGGGGATGGGGGAAACGGAGGGTAGGGGAGAGGGGGGGAGGAAGGGAAGTGAATAGTGGGGAGGGACAGGAGGTGCAGGAAAGCAGACGGAAATAGGATATTTGGTGTAGAACGATGTGGTTAAGAGGGTAGATGGGAATGCCAGTGTTCTCTGTGGCTGGTTACATGATTAAACACACGTATTAACCACACCGGGAAGTAGGGATATGTTCTGATTTGGTTAATATCCACTTGTTGGATGACCAGGCCCTCAGATATCAGCGTAAAACACGCTGATTAGGCTGATTTTGTAGCTGTGATTTTCGTTTTCCCTGAAATTTCAGTATATTCTTTATGTTTGCACTGATTTTTCAGTTTGAAGTGTAGGACTACCCTGACGAATTTGTGTGTAGGTGTACCAGTAACACTGAAGCTTCAGTACAGTGTACCGAGTCACACTGATTCGGGCATAGCAAAATGTGTCGGGTACAGGGATGGTGTGCGTTTACATGGGCTTTAAAACCAGGATCTCAAGTACGAGAATTGGCCATCAATTGCAAAACACTTGCAACTCACATTACCCTGTTAGTGCTGGCGAATTGACAGGTTGGTTTGGAAGTTGAGTGTACGACACACTCACGTTTTTGCCCCTGGAGCAAATGCAAAACACATTGCTGATACATGAGATTGTTTGTGTGTGTCAAGAAATTGCTGGTGTTGGAGCTTCGTCACCGAACCAAATTCCGTGCCTCCCTGGTTCGGACTCAAACTTGCGATTTACTGTAGTTCGCACTCCTCGCTTCATCCCTCGTCAAACTATCCACCTCGTTGACCAATCACAAGCAAGCTCCCCTCACTAACTTCCAGCTCATTTTTATACTTGAGATCCCGGCTTTAAGCCCAGAATCATTGCCATATACAAGTTGACCTGTCACATACGGGCTTCTAACTTGTGACCTTTCCGGTTACAGGCCGAAACCGTAGACAGCTACGTTACTAGCCCTGCCCAGGGAGGGCGATTTAATTTTTCTGACTATTATTAAGCAATGAAATTTTACCCTGACAAATTCAGCATAAACTTGATCCACTAATTCGGGCATGGCACGCTCATCCATCAGCATAACCAATCTGAGGGCCTGTGGATGACCCATCATGTGACACTAATTTCTTGATACTTCTGGTCTAGAAGTTTAGTTGCTTTCAACTAACATGAAGAAACATACGGTGTAGAGTGTGAGGTGCGGGCCAGCCCGAAAATCACTTCCAACAGCATTATTGCCAAGCCGACCGTATGGAGACCGTTGTAGCAGGGTAAATCCCGAAGCATACCCACTTTTGCGGGCACGTGGGGAATTATACACCCTCATTCTCAGTCTACGCACAATTGGGAGCACTGGCTACAGTGCGTCTGATTGCTTGGACCCTAGCGATCTGGTGCTTGGAGCCGAACTCTAGGTAGGTGGCGGGCAAACGCACTCCCGGGGAACGGTAAACAACGGTATGTAAACTTACAGTTAGTTGTTCGTACGGTTAAGTACGGCAAATGTGCTTACAGCGTATGTTCTTGGACCATGTTGGACGCATTGATGTCATTACAGCTGGCATGTTCATGTGGCGATTGTGCACAGACTGAGAATGAGGGTGTATGGAGCAGCAGCATTCACTGGACACCAATGGGGATGGTCGCCGCTGTGCTACTGGATTTTGACTCGCCAATCAAATTACTTCCTTCTCGCATTCAGCTGTGTTTAGAGGTGTTCTGTGCGGTCTATCATTGACATTGGCTGCCGTAACCGTGAAGAAGTGGGATTTCGGCGACAGTGCTGACGTGTGTCGGGGGAGGGGCGGAAGTGGGGGGGTGTTTTTTTCAGGGCTACATCGTGTTGCAACTGCGACTCCAATTGGTTCTCCCTATGCTTGCTGCTCGACCATGGAAATTTAAAACTGGCCTATTTTCATAACAAATCTTATTATTCATATCGTCATTGTAGTCATCTTCAAACGTTTTTGGTGTTTCGCGTAAAGTTGCAAGCATGTCTCGGTTCGGGTTTCCATGCACCCCCATGGCTAAAGCATCGATGTCTCCTCCATGCCCCCCTTGCTTCTCGATTGCTGGAACGCGTTCAGTCGCCCTCCGCGAATCAGACGGCGAGATTGGCGATAGGGATTTCCCCTAGAGTCGAGGCGAGGCGAGTCGAGCACCAGACGGCCTCGCGAGTTGTCGGGATGCAGTAATGCACTGTGCGCCATTTTTGCCTAGTGCGACTGGAAGCTTTGTCGCAGCGCAGGGTACGGCGCGATGGTTCATCGCCAACTTGATCGCACTACAACGCCAGGGATGCGGCAGAAGGACAGACGCTTGCTGATGCCAACACATGGCTCTCCCATAATGCAAGGCGGCAGCGCCCCAGTCAATCGTTTTTTATCCGAACGCTAGCAAGGCCCCATGGAGGTATCGCGTTCCATTGAAAACATGGCCTCGCAGATTTTTCAAGTGAGGGACCGCAGTTTATTTAGCTCCTCGCCGGGACCTGATATATTGTCAGACATTCTAACGGAAACTCTGAATCGAGTCGGACGGATAGCGATAGAAAACACGGCAGCAACGGTGCGAAAGTGGGGCGCATTTTTCCCGTGCGAATTCATATGTTCCAATAGCTTTCCCCTAGTCGTTGAAACATTCGCGGGGGGCAACCAAGCCGGACGTCGCACAGCGCTAACGGCATGGAGTGCGAGCAGCGCACGACGCGAAGCGACAGCTTACGAAATTATTCAAGCTACTCGTCGAGCGACGACGACGGAGACGGGCCGGGCGCACGCGCGCGAGAGTGCAAGGGAGGGCGGATTCCGCGGCGGAGCCAATGCTCTCAATCCCCGCAAGCCGCCGTTACCGCGACCGGAGCTGAAGGCGTCTCACGTTCCGCAAACGCCGCCGCGCCGCCGCTGCCCCGCCTGGATGCGATGGGCGGCGCGGTTAGCAAGCACGTGCGCGTGGTGGAGGACGCGGCGCTGTGGTACGCGTGCGCGGGGCCGCTGGTGACGGTGCCGGCCGTGGGGTCGCTGGTGGTGTATTTCCCGCAGGGCCACGTGGAGCAACAGCAGCGCCTCGCGCAGGTAGAGCCCACGACTCAGGTCGAACATCGCACGCGGCGAATCTCAGTTCTTTCGGATGGCCCACGTGTGGGACTGGTGTCTGTGCTTCACATCCGCGGCGCTTCACGGGCGATCCGCCTCTCCGCCTCCTCTGCGGAGTTTGCCCCCGTCCCTTCCACGCTCTCTCCTTCCTTTCCCCGTCTTAGTTCACGTTGCCCCTCCCTCCCCATCCCCCAATTATCCCCTACCCGCAGCGCGACCCACCGCAACTGACCGAATCGGAGTCGCCGCCCCCGTCGCCGCCGTCGGGGCTGTCGTCGCCGATCGCCATCTCCACGTCGGAATCGGAGTCGCAGTCGCAGTCGCGCAACAGCGGCGACGACTCGCCAAGCCCGTCGCACGGTAACAGCGGGTTGAGCCAATCGCCCAGCCAATCAGACTCGAGCGGCTGCACTCTCCCCAGAGGCCGCGCATCCGCTTCCCCCCCTTCCGCCGGCCAATGCGCGCAAAGCAGCGGCAGTCCTGGCGGGCGTGGCGGAAGCGGCGGAGATAGCGGCACGTCGCGCGGAGCGGACAGTGGGAGCGCAACGGAGAGCGCGCAAGCGAAGAGGCGACAACAGCTGCCGCCCAGCCACATCTTCTGCCGCCTGACGGCCGTCGCGCTTCAGGTACCGCGCTAATGCGCGACGCGACACTCGCCGTAGACTCCGCCGCGATACGACGGAGCGCTCTCGGCGCGCGTCCACGGTCAATGGCTTTCCCGCCGCAATTCATTTTTGCGATTTCGCCCTCCCAGCGGGATTAGTCCAGCAGATGCCAAAAATCATGCGCACATGCTTCACCCCCTATCGTCATTCGGATTAACCCAATTCTTTCCGCCACCCCCCCGGTCCGCTGCCCGTTCCCCTGCCCCGCGCGCAGGCGGACGAGCGCACGCACGAACTGATGGTGCGCTTCGAGCTGCAGCCCGTAGACGAGGTGAGAATTCAGCTTTGGCGCATTCAACCGTTGCATGCACGAGTGGCTGAGCGTAGGGGTGTGTGGCGTTGCTTGCCTCTCCTCGCCCTGCGCCTGTTTCCCTGTGAACTCGTTCGTACGTTGCCCCTCTTCCCCCTGTTTCTCACCTGTGCGCCATTCCCCCCGTCTAATCCCCCTTCTGTGTGTCCGCTCGCCTGTTCTTCCGCCCGTGCTTGTGCAGGCGGAAGCAGTGAAGGCGCAAGCAGCCGCCAGCCAGGAGGCGCGAAGGGCAGGCGCAGCGGGGAGGAGACGCGGGGGCGAGGGGGAGAAGGCGGACGCGCAGGAGGAGCAGGGGATGGAGGACAGCGTGGACACGGAAGGCGGGCGCACGCAGGCAGCGCGTGCGGGGGGCGTGCAGGCGCAGGCGGGGGTGCACACGCACGTGGGCGCGCATGCGCGGCTGCACATGTGCTGCAAGCGCCTCTCCACCAGCGACGCCGCGCCGCACGGCGGCTTCTTCATCCCGCGCAAGGCCGCTGAGTCGCTCTTCCCCGCCCTCGTAAGCTTCCCCCCTGTATGCCCCGCCTTTGTGAGCCCCGCCCCCACTTCTCCCCCGCGCCTATGCTGCTCGCCGCCCCCCTCGCCCGTTGCTTCACACCTCTAGTGTCACTCCACTTCAATGCACGTCCGCCGCCTTAATATTCTCATCTGCGTCTCTTCCTGCGCAATGCAACGGCATGGCATGGCATGGCATGGACCACGGCAGGACGCCAATGAGGAGGGGCCATGTCAGCAGCTGGTGGCGTCAGACGTGTTCGGCCGCGAGTGGAACTTCCGCCACGTGTACCGCGGGTCGCCGCGCCGCCACCTGCTCACGGCGGGGTGGAGCGCCCTCTGCGCCTCCTGGGGGCTCGCCGCCTCCGACCGCATCATCTTCCTCAGGTGAGCTCAGGTGTTTTCTCAGGTGGGGTGGGGGCAGCATTATCTTCCTCAGTTGGGCGCGGTGCTTGCCGCTTGCTGCCTCACAGCCATGCATCACTCTGCTCCGCGCGCTCTCCCTTTCCCCTCCCCTCCCTCCCCCCCGTGCTGGCAGGGCGGGCAACGGGGCGTTGAAGGTGGGTGCGAGGCGCAGCGAGGCCGTGCTGGCAGCGCAGCACAGGCGGCAGCGCGAGCGGGAGAGAGGGTGCGGGGCAAGCGATGGTGCGAGCAGTGCGGGGGCAGTGAAGGAGGACTGGAGCAACACGGGTGCACATGCGATAGCATCAGCTGCTGCAAGCCGGGGTGGTGGTGGTTCGGCGGCGACGGGAGGGGCGGCGGTGACAGCGAGTGAGGTGCTGGAGTGGGCGGCGCACTGCCACGGCGTCAAGAGGGCCTTCTCCGTCGTCTACTACCCCTGGTACTCTCCTCCTCCCCCCTCCATCCTCCCGCCCTGCTCCCCTCTCCTCGCTCCCCCTCCTGTTCCTGCCTTGGTTCTCTTGCATTGCTCCCCTGCTTTCTCCTTTCCCTTCTCCACCCGCCTCCCCTCTCCGCAAACTCCTCGTCCCATCCCCATTGCGCTCTTCCCTCACTGCCCATGCCACTCCCTCTTCACACCACCACTCTCTCCCTCCACACATCACCTCTCACCTTACCCCGTCGGTGCCTCCCCTGTGCTCCCCCCATCCCCCATCCCCCATCCCCCATCCGCCCATCCCCCACCGCCATCCCCCAGCGTGGCGTCAACGCCAGCGCCCTTTGTGCTACCCCTCGCCGCCTTCAGCTCCGCCCTTCGCCTGAAGCAGCGCCTCACGGCAGCCAGCGAGGTGCGCATGGCGTTCGAAACCGACGAGCTGGCCACCCACCGCCTGCGCGGCACCGTCACGGCCGTGCACCGGCCCGCCAGTGGCGTGTGGCCGACCTCCCAGTGGCGCAGTGTGCGCGTGCGCTGGTTCGATTGTGACCCCTCGCTGCCCCGCCCCCCCCTCGTCTCCCCCTGGCACCTCGATGACTCGCTCCCCTCCGCCCCCCGCGGCTCCCCGTGCTCCTCCTTGCTCTCCGCGCCCGTATCCCTCTCCCTCTCCACCTCCTCCTCCCTCACTGCCTCCGCGCCCTTCCCCTCCTCCTCCTCTTTCCCCTCCTCCTCCTCTTTCCCCTCCTCCTCCTCTTTCCCCTCCTCCTCCTCCTCCCCCTCCCCCCGCCCCCTCGTCTCCCCCCGCCCGCCCTCCTCCCCCCGTGACCCCCGACCTGCCCGCTCCAGCTTCAGGGACTCCGCGTTACCACCTCTCTCCGCCACTCCCCCGCTCCACACTTCCCCGTCCGCGCTCATGCCGCCTCCCCCCTCCCCCACCACGCCCAGAAGCGCCTCCTCCGCCCCGCACCTCCCCTCCGCGCCCAATGCCCCCACGCCTCTGCGCCTGCCCCCCTCCGCCCCCCCCTGCCCGTCCCCCAGCGGGGGGCGGCGCATCAGCCTGGCGGAGTGGCGCCAGTGGCGCGCGCTGGTGAGGCAGTCCCCTGCCGACCACCGTCTCCCCCTCCCCCTGCACCTTCCCGCCCAGGGGGGGGACAGGGGCGGGGAGAGTGGGCGCGAGGCAAGAAGGGAAGCGAGCGCGGATGGTGGGGTGGGAGGGCGGGAGGGGCGCGAGGAAGGATGGGAGGCGGAGGAGTTGGAGCGTGCAGGGCGGCAGAGAGGGGGTGTGGGCGAGCGACCAGTGTCGGCACATGCTGCGGGAGTGCCCGCCACATCAGCAGAGGTGGCGGCAGGGGCAGCAGCGGCATCAGAGGGATGTGCGTCTGTCACCCCGCCACTGTCTCAATGGCAGCAGCAGCAGCAGCAGCAGCAGCAGCAGCAGCTGGTGGTGGTTACCCGCCCGGTTGCGCGGTCCATCTCCCCCAACGTGGCTGCTCTGCTGCACCTCTCCCACTCCCGCCCTCGCTCCCTCTCAATCCCCCCCACATCCTCACACTCACTCCCCCCCACTCCCTCACACTCACACTCGCACTCGGACATGAGCAGCAGCCGCAGTGAGGGTGGACGCCCACCAACCCCTCGCCCCACCACACGCCTGCCGCCCATAGCACCACAACAGGCCAGCAGCGGCGGGGCGGCAGGTAGTAGGGCGTGCGGGGCGCTTCCACCTGCCAATGGCGTGCTGCCACCTGGCAGCGCGGTGCGCAAGCGAGTACGCTTCCAGTGCGATCTCGACCCGCCTGCACCCTCCCCTCCTCCCCACTCCTCCCCTCCCCACTCCTCCCCTCCTCCCCTCGCTTCGCTGCTTCCACTCACTGACTGCCACGTGGCAGCTGACTCAGCAGAGGAGCGTCCAGGGAAGAAGGCGAAGAGTGCCGTCCGTTGCGCGAGCTGGCAGAGCGGAGACGAGGAGGGGCGAGTGGAGGAGAGCGAGGAGCAGCGTGAGGCGCAGTGTGAGGAGCAGTGTGAGGAGCAGTGTGAGGAGCAGTGTGAGGAGCAAGAGATGCGTGATGTGGACTGTGGGAAGGGAGGCGAGGAGGAGGAAATGGCAGAGGAGGGAAGGGATGGGGAGGAGGGAGGGAAGGGAGAGGAGCAAAAGGCGGAGCAGATGGAGGGAGAAAAGGCAGAGAAAGGAGCAGAGGAGGGTGTGACGGGCAGGCAGAGCCACTCATCCTTTGAAGTAGCGGCGGCATCCCTGCTTGTGCTCAAGCAGGGGGGGCAGCACACGGCATGTGCAGCAGGAGCAGCGGCAGCACCTGTGGGTTCTCCTGTGGCACCAGCAACACCACCAGCGGCAGCAGCAGTGCCTTCCAGTCTGGCCCTCTCGCTCTCCCCATCACCCCCTGCTCGCCCTTTCTCCATCTCCCATTCCTCAACACTTCTCCCTTCAGGTGTCTCCAGTGCTTCAGGTTCCTCAGGTGCTTCAGGTGCCTCTGGCGCCTCAGGTGCTTCAGGTTGGTGCGACCCCCTGGCGCTCTCCCTGACTCTCTCTGCCCCTCTCGCCCCTCACTCGCCACGTCAATCCCATTCGCCACAGCCGCAGCAGTTGGGGGTAGGTGGCACTGCAGTGGCACACGACAGGCATGACGTGGCACAACAGGAGACAGAGCAGCCTGCCGCAGTGGGAGGAGCAGGGAGGGAGAGGAGAGAGAGTGAGTGGGGAGCTCGGAGGAGCGCAGTGGGGGCCCAGGAGGAGGTGCCTGCGACGCCAAGGCAGGGTGCAGAGGCCACAAGGGGAGTGGCAATGGACGGTTGTGATGAAGCCATGGCGGCGCGCACTGACAACCATGCACCTCCCTCTGCTGCTGCTGCTGCCAGTCCAGCGTGTGAGGCATTGCAGCCAAGCTGCCATGCTGCTGCTGCTGCTACTGGGCAGTCTCGGCGCATCAAAGTGAGTGTTTCCTTGATGCAGTCGGATACATGCAGCATGGCGCATGGTTGAATGGTTGACTGCATGCATGCACTGCACGTATGCCACCCTCTCACCCGCACCCATTGTGCTCTCTTGCTCCTGCTGCCTTGTGCCCTGTGCAGCTGAGGGTGGAGGGAAGCCCGGTGATGCGCACGGTGGATCTCAGTGGCATCGGCAGCTTCCAATCGCTGTACGCCACGTGTGCAGCCATGCTACAGCTGCCTCTGCAGCAGCCAGGGGAGCCCTCAGCGGGTGCCACGTGTCCCTGGCAGCTCACCTACACCGACACCGACGGCGACACGCTCCTCGTTGGCGACGGGCCGTGGAGGTCAGCCCACCCTCACTGCGCCTCCTTCCTCTCTCACGGCTTCTCGTCCCTTTCTGCCTCTCTTCCTCTCATTCGCTCCCTCTCGTTCTCCCTCCCACTCCCTCCTCTTCCCTCTGTTGCTCCTCTACTTACTGCATCTCCTCCTCATGCTCTTCCTACACCCCATCCTGCATCTCCCTTTTTTATCCCTGGAGCTCCGCACTATGAGTGCTGCACTGTGCCATTTGCATGCAACCGTGCTCACTATCGTCCACATGGCTGTCTCTCATCTTCTCCTGTGTGCGGCGTGCAGTGAGTTTGTGAGGGACGCACGGAAGCTGAGTGTCATAAGGACGCCCAAGCTTCAACAATGGGGGGAGAGTTGCTGATTGCAGCTGCAGCTGCAGATACCAACACAACATAACACACTTATGTATTCCACGCATTTGTTTGGTAGGGTACCGGTAGCTGTTTTAGCTTTGTATGGTTTGTGTTACAATGCAATAACTGCTGGGCAGATGTCTTGTATAAGAGCGTATTCCTATCCTCTTATCAATCGAACCCCATAATATCAAGCTCACACTGAAAATTCCCTTAAATCTGAAACCTCTCGCTAGTTTTACCAGGCAAAAAGTACAATATTGATACGAGGTAGCCTGAGCCCAAGGAATACGCTCTAAATCAATTAGTGGAGATTGCGACCGTTACAAATATTCTCAGGGAGGAAAATGCAAATCAGGAATGAACAGCATTATTTGCATAAAATAAATTTCGATATGAAAAAACATATTCAATGCCGAAATTTTCAGGACTAGCTATTGAATACAAGCAAGCAACGAAGGAAGAGTATTTGAGTCGAACCCCACATAATACACACCCTGAAGCATTTTAATTCTCAGGGCTTCGAAACACGTCAAGCCATTTGAATGCCCTTGTACGCCGCAATCGTCGGCAGGTCGTGTCCGTCATACGCCGTGTACAGGCAGTCGGGCGACAGCACGCCGGACGTGCGATAGTCCTTCACGTCGCCGTCCAGGAAACCCGCACCGCTCGGCCCGTCGGCAGCAATTGGGCGGCCAATCACCTGCGAGAGCGTGTTGTAGTCGAGCGCGCGCTTCTCGCGGCCGTCGCGGTACGTCTGCCCCATGATGCCGTGGATGTCGTCCGTCCTGTAGATGTGCTCGAAGTGCACGTTCAAATGCGCCTCGGCGTCGTCCTTGGTCTGCAGCAGCGGGTGCGCGACGCGGAGCTTGACGCCCATCTTAAGAAGCCCCTCGATCTCCAGGTGGTAGGCGTCCACATCGAAAAAGCCGCGCCCGGCCTTCTCGTACGCCTCGAAGGCGAACGTCAGTCCGCCCTTGAGCGAGTACTTCTCGCCGAGCTTCAGCAGCGGCAGCACGTGGCCGTCGTACTCGATCTCCTTCAGGAAGCCCTTTCCGCGCGCCGTCTTCTTGCCGTCGCGCGCCAGCAGGCGGAACGAGTGCTTCTTGCCGGCGGAGTCGGTCCACAGGAAGCCCAGTTCGCGGATCCACGTGCGCACCGCCTTGCCGTTCTTGAGAATAGACGCGCCGGTGGTGCGCGTGTCGTAGTAGCCGCGCATCTTCATGTTGACGTGCAGGTTGCGGTCCGTCAGCAGGCAGAACGACTGCTCGGGAAGACCGTTGAACTCGAAGCGCGTGCCGTGCGCGCCGCGGAAGTGGGGGTCGTTCTGGCCCTCGCCGCAAGGGTGGCCGACGACGCTGATGTTGGAGAGGTAGCGCGTGTACTCCGTGCCGTCCGCCAGCGACAGCGTGATCGGCGTCGACACGCAGCCCGGCGAGTAGCCCGGAGGGTAGAGAATGCAGATACCGCAGCCCTCGCACGCGGTGGCGGCGGGCTTGAAGTGCTGCCAGTACGAGCACGTGTTGTTGTCGGTACACGCGTTGCAGCACTGCTCTTCGAGAATCGCATTGCTGTAGCAATACGGAAGACCGGCGACTTTGTTATCATTCTTAGTGACGCTAGTGCAGCGGTAGAAAGGGAGGGAGTACTGGCCCATGTAATAGCGAGTCGGATTCTGAGTGCTGCAGTTCTTAATGCACAGCTGGTTGTCCTCGCACGAGCTGTAAGTCACTCTCCCGCTGTCGAAGTCAGCCTGGTACCTGTTGTCGTTCCATGTGATGGCACGCGCCGTAGCAGCGCAAGCAAGAACCAAGACTAACGCAACGGCGAGCCGACCCATTTTCGTTGTCTACGCCCAGCAGGTAAGAATGGTAAGTAACTAAACGATGTAGAAGTGACTATGAGGTAGGGTTGGGACCTATGCTTCCTAACCTGTAGAGAACCAAGCAGAACAATGAGAAGGGGGGACAGGCTGGGCTGGTGTGATTTGGGACGGATGGGTGGCGGAAAGGATTTTGTTGTTCTGCCTCACATCCCGTGACAGGGGCAGGTGACTCGAGGCAGGTGAAAGAACGATCGCTCGTTGCGACACTGTACGTAGGTCTCGGCAGCTGAAAACCACCTGCGATGTGACTCCTGGTGCGGACAGCACTGAAACTCAGGTGAGCATGAGTATGTCAGGACAGGGTTACCAGTGACACTGTCGTTTGCGTCGATTTGGTGGTAGTTGAAAATGTCTCGAGGAAAGTGACCTTGCCGAAGAAGCAGCGTTACCACTGCTACTGTAGTCGTGCTGGCTTGTCACGGGGCCCAGAAGTGACTAGCGAAACTGTGGCGAGTGATGGTTGCGTCGCAATCAGAGCCTGGATGAACAGTCCGCAGGGAGAATTTCAAGAACGACCAGCAGGACACCTGGGATACCGACAACCCGACAGTCCAGAGGGCAACTGAGAACCCCCAACACACATAACCCCAACCACTGTTTATCGGACCCCGCGGGTGGATACGCGAGTCCAACAACGTTCGGAATGAATGACGTAAGGCCGAAACCCAAGGCGGAAATACTGTAATCGGAGTTGACAGAAAGCTGCCGATATACCGAGAAAGGCTATAAGGGAATTACCTGTTTCTAGCTGCAACAACAAAATTTGCCAAATTATCGAGCCAATATGCAAGGAATTTTGCCTTATTTCTAAGGCACTTCATACGCGTACAACTCAAACTTTTGGAGTTCAGCCTCAGCCCGACGACCTCGCCTTCCGAACGTCCCTCGCGTCGCCTTCGGGTTTCCCAACCCCAAAACGTGCACCCAGCCTTGGTTTCACGGCCTCGGCCTACCTAGCCTTCGCTATATCTGTGCTAGGTCTCATTATTCTGCCAGTAGTTGTAATCACTTCCGCGACATTGCATTCTGCGCGCTCTTCTTCTTACAACTTAATAACCAATGCCTGTACGTCACGAGTTTTCTTGATAGCAATCTGCATTTTTACTGGATTGCATTGAATTGCATACACTTCCAACTTGAGGCGGAGCCATAGGGATGAGAGGTGTAAATAATCTTGTTTTCCTTGGATCATTTCCAGCTAGCGCATACAACACAATTACTGTATATCTTCATAAACTTTATGAGGGCACAAATACCTGACTAACCAAGAGTCTCTGTCTGAAGTGAGTGGAGGGACCCTGTAGTCAATAGCCGTAACCACCGCCTTGATGATAATTTGCAGCACCATAATTGCCCTGCTGGTAACTAGGCTGCTGGTAGTTACCGGCACCTGTCGGATAGCCACCTTGAGGATTTGGATATCCACCACCTCCCATTCCCATGCCCATGTTTCCTGCCATGCCCCCTCCCATCGCTCCCATCCCCCCAGCACCCATCCCCATTCCCCCGTACCCACCACCCTGCATACCATAGCCACCACCACCACCACTGCCCATGGCACCCATTCCACCCATCCCCCCCATTCCTCCTCCCATTCCCATCCCACCACCCATGCCTCCCATGCCTCCCATTCCCCCCATGCCTCCCATGCCTCCCATTCCCCCCATGCCTCCCATGCCCCCCATGCCTGCCCCCACACCCATGCCACCGGCACCAGCACCAGTGCCAGGCCCCATGGCACGGCCCATGGTAGCGGGCACACCCCCCTGCTGCCCCTGCCCCTGCCCCAGGCCCAGGTGCTGCTGCTGCTGGTGCTGCTGGCGAGTGGCGTCCTCCTTGCGCTCACGCGCCGACCGCAGCTTCGACTTGGGCATCACGCCCACCGAGCTCAAAGGGTCGTCCGGCTCTGATGCGCCATGTGCACGCGATGGGCAGGGGGGCGGAGGACCGGGGGAGTGAGTGGCGGATGGGAGGAAGGGAGATGGGGGTTTAAAAAAATCGCAGAGCAAGGAAGAGCGGAAGCTGTCAGGAGAGGGGATGACGCATGAGAGAAGGGCGAGTGGGATGCATTTAAAAGCAAGGACAGAAATGCGGCTTGATGGATGGAGAGAGTGAGAGCCAGTCAGCACAGTGTGAAGGCACGCATACTGCAGCTGCACCTTGTATGACTTGCTGCTGCACACTCACGGCAGGCACCCTTACCCCTGCCATGTGCCATGCAACACCCAGCAGCAGCAGCAGCAGCCATGCACTCGCAGTACACGGGCGTGCTGTATGTGCACATTGCATCATAAGCACATTGTACACGCATGCAAGGGTTTACCTGAGGTGTCATGATGCCCCGACTAATGAAAGGCATACCTTTGGAGATGTTGAGGTCCACGAGGCCGGCACTGAGCACGTCTGAGAACACACTCGACTTCTTCACTCCCGCACCCGCCCCCCCACTCGCACTGGACTTGCCCTCTCCTCCTATGGCACCGCTATCACTGGTGCCAGCAGCAGGGGGGGCAGCAGAAGCAGGTGCAGCCACGGAGGCAGGGGGAGCAGGGTGATGGGCAGTGGGATGAGGGGGAGCGGCAGCGGGGGTGGGTGCAGTGTCTGAGGCAGAGAAAGCATACGGAGCAGCTGGTGCGGGTGCAGCAGGCTGGGAGGGGTCTGTGTAGCCAGATGCTGCCAGCTGCTGCCGCTGCTGCTGCTGCTGTTGCTGCTGCGGCTGTGGGGGCTGCTCGGAGGAGAAGGAGTAGGGAGGAGGGGCATCAGGTGGGAAAGCTTGGAAGCCCTCCTGAGAGGCCGTTGCTGCTGCAGCACCAGCTGGGGGGCTGGTGGGAGCCGCTGCTGGTTGCTGCTGCTGCTGCTGCTGCTGCTGCTGCTGCTGCTGCTGCTGCTGCTGCTGCTGTGGCTGCTGGTATTGTGGAGGAGGCTGGTCATACTGCGGAGGCGGCTGCTGGTATTGCTGAGGTGGCTGCTGGTATTGCTGAGGTGGCTGCTGGTATTGCTGAGGTGGCTGCTGGTATTGTTGAGGTGACTGCTGATACTGCTGAGGTGACTGCTGATATTGCTGAGGTGGTTGTTGATATTGCTGAGGTGGCTGCTGGTACTGCTGAGGTGGTTGCTGATACTGCTGAAGTGGCTGCTGATACTGCTGAGGTGGCTGCTGATAGTGCCCTGGTTGCTGCGCCTGCTGCGGTTGCTGTGAGAACGTGGCTGGGAAGGACGAATCCCCAAAAGCAGGGGGCGCTGAAGGAAAAGGGGCATGAGGGGGGCAAAGGGGGATGAGGGGGGCGACAGAGAGGGAGGAACGAAAGAAACACCTGGTGAGGTTCGAAGAGAGATTTGAAAGCGTGGGGTGACAGGCAGAGTAAGAAAGAGGAAAACTGAAAATCGATGGGAGGACATGCAGAATACGACGAAGATCAGACGGAAGTGAGTCCAAAGGGGCGAGTGCGTGTGTACCTCCAGCGGCTGCAGCAGGTGCGGGCTGCCAGTGCTGCGGCGCTGGCTGCTGCGCTGCGGAGCGCGGGTCAAAGTCGTCATCGTCAAAGCCCCCGCCGCCCCCACCGGACGCCACCGCTGCAGGCGCCGCAGCAACTGCAGCAGCGGCTGCAGCAGCCGGAGGCGCATCGGAGGGCGGGTAGGTGTAGGGCTGTGTTGGGCCTGGGCCGTAGGCGCTGCTGTGGGTGATTCCAGAGGAGAAAAGGAGGGAAAGGGCGAGTTAGTATGGCGAGCAAGTTACAGGCCCCCAGACAGTGATGTGCAACGCGGCCATGGGATGCTTGACGCCGAGGAGGGAAACGTGCATATGGTGATGATGAACAGATGGAGAATGAACACACTTGACGGGAGACGCCTACCTTGCAGAGAAGCCTTCCTCTTCAAACGGACTGGCGCTGGCTGCTGCAGTGCTGGCCACAGCAGCAGGCCTGGGCGCACTCTGTGGCGTGCCCCCACCGGCCCCACCACCCCCACCGCCCCCCACCTGCACCGCTGCCACACCCTCCCCGGCAGCACTGCTGCCTGCCACCCTGCTGCCAGCCGCACCTCCTCCCTCGTGTCCGCTCGCCCTCGCCCCACCGCCCCCCGTGCTGCTGTGCTCCACGTCCTCCTCACCACTGTACCTCTCCTTGCCTGTGTACCCGCTGGGCCTCTCGCCGTCACCACTGTGTGCGCTGCCTGTGGAGTGCACCCGCTCTGCTGACCCCGTGCTGTACACACTCCTGGCCTCGCCCGCGTAGCTGTTGCTGCCGTAGCTGGCCGTGGGGTGCGAGTCCCTGGACTGCCTCTCGGGCTCGTAGTCGCCATACGGGTTCGATGCCCGCCCCGTGCCCGCTGCTGACGCGCCCTTGAACCTGGTGGAACGGTCAAGAGTGGTTGAGAGGGGCGAGGAGGTCATTTGGAACTTAGCATAGCATGCCAAGTCAAGAATCTCTGTGTGACTGCACCTGTTGCGGGTGGCAGCAGAGCAGCACGCACCTGTTGCGGGTGGCAGCAGAGCAGCACGCACCTGTTGCGGGTGGCAGCAGAGCAGCACGCACCTGTTGCGGGTGGCAGCAGAGCAGCACGCACCTGTTGCGGGTGGCAGCAGAGCAGCACGCACCTGTTGCGGGTGGCAGCAGAGCAGCACGCACCTGTTGCGGGTGGCAGCAGAGCAGCACGCACCTGTTGCGGGTGGCAGCAGAGCAGCACGCACCTGTTACGGGTGGCAGCAGCACGGTCCCTGAGCTCAGCAATGCGAGCGGAGTCGCGCAGCAGGGCGAGCAGCGCCTGCGCCTTGGTGCGCACGTTGAGGCCCTGGTCCTTGCCCGCGCTGTCTATGTACTGGAAATCGCCCAGACTCTGAACGCGCAGGCCACAGGGGGATGGGTGAACGAAGAAGAGGAGTTTACTGATCGTCATAGCACAACCACATTACACAAGTAAGGAAAAGCTACACCTAGCCTTCAGTTTGACCGAGCAATCACAGTGAGTAACAACAGAAGAATGAGCAGGCAATAGCAGAATGAGCAGGCAATAGCATGCGGAAAGAAGGCACCTGGATGAAGGCAGAACGGTCGCGGAGGTCTCTGACAACGCGCTCTGTGCCATGCGCCACCAGATACTCCATCACCACCAGCGACTGCCCTCGCACCCCGCACCATGACACCACAACACGAACGAGGATATGGGGTAGGGACACAACGTACAAGAGGACAAGCGGAGCACACACATCACTGCCAGTGAATGCCATTCAACCGAAAGCGACCTCCTACCAAGCCCATAACGAAGGAATGTTACAACATCCTTGTGCTTTGAGCACGAGCAGAAGTCGACGACTCCAATTAGCAAGCACTCTCGCCTCATACGCGTGGAGAGCATTACCGAGAATAACTTCTATGCCACCATTGCTCAAATCCTTTGTAAAAATCGTCGGCTCGCTCTGCACACGTGGACTCACCTTGTACACGTGGCGCCAGTCCTTGCCAACATCCTGGCAGCGCTTCCACAGTACGTTCATGACCATGGAGTACTCGATCCTGCACCGCGCACAGTCATGAGAGATGAGCGGAAACGCAAGGGAACTGACGTGACACAACGAACTGCACGCAAGCGGGATGCTCCCACGAGAACGATCAGTGTGCTGGCGGTTACGACAGTGGAGTTTAAATGGCATAGACTAAGCTGAACTAGCCAGAAAAACGAGTTGAATGCAAGATTCGCGGCGCTGCGAAGGGAGCGGGCCGTACGGGTTGTGCGACGCCCGCGCGAGGTCCACGAGCAGCTGGCCGTGAGGCCCCCACGGCTCGTTGGTCGTCGCGTCCAGCGCCTGAGAGACAGGCACAGGCACAGGCACACGCGACACACGCTCACGCACACGCGCACGAACAGTCGCAAGCACACACGCATACACACACGCGCACGGACAGTCGGACACGCGCACGCGCACGTGCACACACACTCATGAGCATATGTACACTCATGTGCACGCAAACGAACACGCACACGCAAGACGCACACCCACGAGCATCCAAAATCATGAAAGGAATTCACCGTGTCAGTGCAACAACGAAATCGTTCCGTTAACGGTAGTTCCGAATCTCAGAGGCTGATGCACAGAGGATAATCGGAATGGTGAAATCTAGATGTTGGAAGGTGGGTCGCATCAAGAAGCAACTCGCTACAAATTAAAAACTCGCATCGCTACGCAGTTCGGAAAGCGCAACAATGAATGAGGGGACGAAAGGCATCTCACCTTGCGCTCGGCATCAGGCACCTTGAGCACATTCTTGTTGACCTCACGCTTGCTGCACCAGCAAACCACAGAGACGAATGGTAACAGATTAGCACGATCGAAGCAGATCAGGAAAGCAAGAAGGTTGTTCAACAGAGAGAAACTCAGAGGAACGGCGGGAAGGCTCCGCTTCGGACAATGGCGCGAAGTAGCACAAAAAAGGAAACGTACAGGTCTCGAACCGTACGGTCGAATGCCTTGTAGATTGACGACATGACTATTGACTAAACGCTGCGATCACGATGCTGATAGATGCAGGTACTGATCAGTATTCTAATACGGCCTGCAATAACAAGGATCTTGGATTATGGCCATTGATGCAGTGTCAGCAGAACGACATACAAATGCTGCGAATGAGCTATCCACTTTTGCTGTGGAATCTGTTCTTGAGTGAACTGCTGACGGAAGCATGCCCATCCCAAAGCCGAGGCGGTGGGTGAAAGTTCGAGAAAGTCGCGGCAATCCCGTTGCTTTCAACTTTTTGTATTTGCTCGTTGACAAGATGGCTTTGGGATGAGTAGTGCGGTGGGGAACAATAACAATAACGAAACAAAAATCCTTGATATAAACATGGCGGGGAACAATAATTTTGGTCTGACAGCACCTTGCGTCACGCCCACTCACCGCAGGCAGCGGAAGAAACCAGACCAGGCCTTCCTCGCTTGGAGCAGTTTTCCGCATTGCCGACCATCAAGACATGCCCGCAATCCACGAATCACGCAGCCTGCTTCCGCTACCCCTTTCCACAAATTCTTCCCCTTTTCCCCCCAACTCCCTTCTTCCCCCATCCCTCCCATTCGCACCATTCTGGGCCAACGGGGTTCACCGTTGACCGAATGATATATCTCAGCGGACAAGCGAGTCCGCCCGGGGGAGCTCGCTGCCCGCGGGCAAAAAAAACTAAACCCCATTCGGGCATGCATCCGGTCAGGGAGCCTCAACCCTAAACGCGGGGAGGCATGGTGTTTAGGGTTGAGGCTCCCTCGGATGGCATGCCATCCGATGGGGTTTTAGTTTTTTCTGCCCGAGGCAGCATGTCGACAGGTCGTCGGAGGGTCGTCAGGCTTGACGACCCGTTTCCGCTGAGATTTTCCGCCGTGATGTAGCTTGCGACTGACGGTGGAGGACGGAGGGAGGCACAAACAAGCCACGAATCCCACTAGTGCGCGTGACTCGCGCGGTAGGAGGTTTCTAGGCAGGCTTACATCATTCTAACCTTCAATTCAAACATAGCGCCGACCACGTTCTTCGATTACCCGCGACTTTGCTTAGTATCAGAAGCATCGACGACCCTAGCCGATCCCTAGCATCAAGTAACAAAATTACCGCGATGGCAGCAGCAGCTGGGAACCCTAAGAAGGAGTCCAAGAAGCCTAAGTGTGAGCTCCACTCGATTTTGCGAGCTAATTTCCATCTCGACTGCTCGGTCACTCACCTATCGATTCCGGATTCGTATATTTATCACTCCGGCCATTCACCTACTCCCCATCCGTGTTTGCTTCTCACGCCGTTTCTTTTTCCACTTGTTATTCTCATGCAGCTGTTGATACACCGCATTGTATTCCTGATCCGTGTTCCCATTCATGCGTCCAGACTCGCGTTTCACGCAGCAGGAGCTGCCGGCGTGCAAGCCGCTGCTGACGCCAGCATGGGTCAGTTCCACGCAAGCGTCGTGATTCCCACCTGCGAGAGGATCACAATCAAGTCATCTATCTATATATTGTTTTTGCGCGTCGGTGGTCTGTCACTGCCTCTTGGCCGCGTATCCTGTGATGTTCGAGTCGCCCTTTTGCTCTTTGAACCACCGTTCGAAGCCATCCCATGCGCTCCTCCTCTGTCCACCTCCCATTTCTGCTTCCCCTTACGCTCTCTGCTCCGCACCTCTTGTCAATCGAGCCCAAACCTCGCTCCCCTGCCGCTTTCCCGCCCCTCGTCACCCGCCTGTCTCTGCGTGTGGCAGGTGATCGCGACGCTCTTCCTTGTCGGCGCCGCCTTCATCCCCATCGGAGTCGTCGCTCTCATGGCGTCTAACAGCGTAGGTCGCGCGTGGCGTCTAACAGCGTAGGTCGCGCGTGGCGTCTAACAGCGTAGGTCGCGCGTGGCGTCTAACAGCGTAGGTCGCTCGTTGCGTCTAACGGCCTGTCAGCGCACGGGATGAAGTTCTTGTTGCGTTGTATCAACGCTCGTGTGCGCCTTGCCGCCCGCATGCGCGCCAGCTTACTTACTGCCTGTGCGCTCCCTGTATGACATGTGTGTGCGTGCGCGTGCGCGTGCCGTCCCGCAGGTGGTGGAGGTGGTGCAGCGCTACGACGACCGCTGCGTGCCGGCCGGCAAGGACGGCGTGGCGTACATTCAGGACGCGTCTATCCCCAAGAAGTGCGACATCCAGATCACCGTCAGTCGCCTCGCCCCTTCTTCCGCTCGCCCTCTACTCACCCCTTTTTCTCACTCTCTCACCTCGTTCCAATCGCTCACCGTTTGAACTGATCGTTCGTGACCTCATTTATCCCCAATCGTTGCGCGCTCTGCTTGATCCGCCCGTCACGCGCGTGTTCGCCCCCCGTGCAGGTGCCGAAGCGCATGCAGCCGCCAGTGTTCGTGTACTACCAGCTCACCAACTTTTACCAGAACCACCGCCGGTACGCGATGCGCTCTCCCGCCTGCCCTCATGCCGTGCCATGATCTCGTTCTTCAACGAGTAGCTCTCTGGTGGCGCACCCGTCAAGCTGCGCTGCCACTATGCACTGAAGCTTTCTCCAAGCGAGCTTATCTCAGTTGTGGGCAGTTGTCCCCGGTTCATGCCTCCCCTACCTCATGCCCACAAGGCCCTCTCTACTCCCCTGCTCTCCTACTGCTGGGCGGTGCTGTTGCATGGGGCGGTGCTGTTGCATGGGGCGGTGCTGTTGCATGGGGCGGAGCAGGTACGTGAAGAGCCGCAGTGACAGCCAGCTGCGGGGCACCAACATCAGCGGCAGCGACTTTGACGTGTGCCAGCCCGAGGCGTACCTGTGGGACAACACATCGTCGCCCATCCGGCCGTGCGGGCTGGTGGCGTGGTCGCTGTTCAACGACTCGTACGCCATCACGGACGCTAGCAGCGGGCAGCAGCTGGCCATCGACAGCAGCAACATCGCGTGGCCCAGCGACCAGAGCGGCAAGTTCGCTGGCGTGCCCCCGGAGAACTTCAACACCGTTGCCGACCTGCGCGGCGGGGCGCAGCTCAACACACTCGTAAGCTTGCTTGGGGTGGCACCGCACACGCATGGTGCATGAACATGCATGGATGTGGGTTACACGTGCTTGGTAACATCCATGGCAGTGGTAGCACGGGCTAGTATTTGGAGCGAGTGTGATGTCCTCATAAGGCTTGTGTCCCTTTCCTCCGTTTGGTCCCTGGGAGTGCAGCTGAATCAGTCGCAGAATCTGATGGTGTGGATGCGCACGGCAGCGCTGCCCACGTTCCGCAAGCTGTATGGGCGCATCAACACGCCGCTGGAGGCGGGCAGCACGCTGGCTGTGGTGCTACAGAACAACTACAACTCCTACCAGTATGGCGGCCAGAAGGCCCTCGTCCTCTCCACAGCCAGCTGGCTGGGCGGCGCCAATGGCTTCCTGGGCCTCGCCTACCTCACAGTGGGAGGCCTCTGCTTCCTCCTCGGCCTCCTCTTCTTCGTCCTCCTCTTCACAAATCCAAGGTATGTATTGGAAACTCGTTTAGGCTTTTGTCTCCAAGTGAGCATTCCACGGCCAGGCGTCAGGGTAGGAGGCATCGTAAACGTTTGTGATGCCTATTTCTGGTATAGAGTGCCAGGCGTCACAAACATGAACCGCAAACATGAAACTTTGTGTTCGTAACTGGCTGCCGCGAATCCTGTGAAGTCGCCCTTCAATTGTGCAAGGCGCACACAGTCTTGATTCATCGTGAGCGGCTCGAATGAACGCGCCTGAACCAGGCCGAAAGACAAACAACAGCAAGCTCTTTTTTTGCATGTGAAAAAAACCTCAGTGCACAGACTTGAATCGTACAGCAAACGTGACTTTCCATGACTACAGCTCATTAACATTCAAATTTCATGCATTCCTCATAAGTCATGTGGTAGTTTGTAGGTGTCGCAAGCACAGCCTCCTTTGTGAGGCGAGGCTTGGCACGTAACTCATACAAAGTCATGTGGTTGTTTTCTGGGGGTTGCAAACCCCCCCTTTACGACATATTCTCATACAAAGTTCCTTCAGACCTCACTTTGCCAGGCTGGTGTAGTCATTTGCAATTTGCACTGGAAAAATGACGTGTCATGTGTGCGTGTGTGTGCAGGCCATTGGGAGATACCTCATACCTTTCGTGGAATCGCCAGGCTCATCATGTGCCTCCACCTGCAGCAACCGCTGATGCCACCGCTGCAGTGGATGGCACGCAATAAGCGAGTTAGTGCTTTTGCTGTTTTGGCTGCAGTTGTTTGTGCTGGCATCATGTTAAAATGTGCCCAAGTGCTCAGCCGTTTGTGCAAAACGTTATTTTATCTGTGTTCAGTGTACCGGTCCACCATGTGCCAAATGGCTTGGGCGAGATGACGAGAATGATAACACCAAGGCTTAAGTTGCTAATGTGGATCAACTGGAGCAAGGTTAGGCAGATTAACAGTGCTGTTAGGACCTCTAATGGTATAGAGCTAGAGGTCCTTAGGACCTTAAACCTACCTCCTTTAGGGCCCACCTTAAAATCGCCTCCGGTTACCGCGTTACCCTGTGCCCGCCCTGCCCTCCTACGAGTCGCACTGCCACAGCTGCAGCTGCAGCGCGCTTTTTTTTTCCCCGTTTTTTTTTTTTTTTTTTTTTTTTTTTTTTCGCGGGCGCTGCCCTGCCCGCTCTGCCCCGCGCGCGCTGCTCGTCGCGTCGCGCCGCAGCCCGCTGCGTCCGCGCGCCGCACGCTTAGCCGCCCCGCAGCCCCGCGCGTCGCCCTCTCCCCTCCCAATCCCGTCGCCCACCTCCTCCCCGCCCCTTTCCTACTGTCGCGCTTCCTCCCCGCCCTTCCTACCGTCGCGCCCCCCTCCTCCCCGCCCTTTCCTACCGTCGCGCGCCCTCCTCCCCGCCCCTTTCCTACCGTTGCGCCCTCCTCCCCGCCCCTTTCCTACCGTCGCGCCCTCCTCCCCGCCCCTTCTCACCGCGCCGCCCGCCAGCCAACGCGCCGCGCCGCCTGCCAACTAGCGCGCAGCGCTGC